AAGGGGATTCTCATATGGGGGAAACCAATGGTTTATGGTTTAATGGTTTAATGGTTGAGGGGATTTTCATAAGGGGGAAACCATTGGTTTAATGGTTTAATCGTTTAATGGTTTAATGGTTTAATGGTTTTGGGGGGTTTTCATAAGGGGGAAACCATTGGTTCAATGGTTTAATGGTTTAATGGTTTAATGGTTTAATGGTTTCATGGTTTCATGGTTTAATGGTTTAATGGTTTTGGGGATTTTCATAAAGGGAAACCATTGGTTTACTGGTTTAATGGTTTAATGGTTTAACGGTTTAATGGTTTAATGGTGTTAGGGATTTTCGTATGGGGAAGCCATTGGTTGAATGGTTAAATGGTTTAAACTGTTTAAGGGAATGTGCAAAAAACACAGGGGAACCGCTATAGGCGGTGACCCATCATAATTATGATAAATTGTCGTAGTTATCACAAGTTATACTACTCGCTCTCCCGTTAAAAGTGCTTACGGCTTAAAGACCTTAGTACATAAAACTGTGCTAAAGCGCAAAGAAAACAATGCTTACGATACAGAGACTTTGGCACACTATGTTGCGTCAAGACACAATGAAATTATGCTTGCGATCTATACAGTGAAACGGAAACAGGCTAGTTCCATCATTATTTTTTGTTCGTTGCTTACTTTTTTGTTTTATTTTGTAGAGTCACTGGAATTTGCTATGACTGCGAGTGGGCGAAGCCTTAAACAGTCTTTAGGATTTGCTAGGACTACGAGCGGGCGAAGCCGTTACCGAAAACAATCCCTGAAATTTGCTATGACTGCGGGCGGGCGAAGCCGTTACCGAAAACAGTTTCTGGATTTTGCTATGACTGCGCGCGGGCGAAGCCGTTACCGAAAGCAGCTTCTGGATTTTGCTATGACTGCGCGCGGGCGAAGCCGTTACCGAAAGCAGCTTCTGGATTTTGCTATGACTGCGAGCGGGCGAAGCCGTTACCGAAAACAATCCCTGAAATTTGCTATGACTGCGGGCGGGCGAAGCGGTTACCGAAAACAGTTTCTGGATTTTGCTATGACTGCGCGCGGGCGAAGCCGTTACCGAAAGCAGCTTCTGGATTTTGCTATGACTGCGAGCGGGCGAAGCCGTTACCAAAAACAGTCCCTGAAATTTGCTATGACTGCGAGCGGGCGAAGCCGTTACCGAAAACAGTTTCTGGATTTTGCTATGACTGCGAGCGGGCGAAGCCGTTACCGAAAGCAGTTTCTGGATTTTGCTATGACATGAAGGGAAAGTGACCTTGCAGATATGCAATGAAATGCCTATTTCAGTTCGTGGCGTAAGAGAAAATGCCGCGAGCAATTTCACGGCTAATTGCGTGCGGCTAGGAATAGAACTGCTGGGCATGAGATCTGTGTGCCATATGTAGGTGTAAATATGTACTTTTGTATTACGATATTTATATTCGCTTTTTTAAAGCAATAAGAAAAACCCAAAGCTAAATAGACCCTTAAGGTGGCGGGCTCATATACATATACATATATATATATACATATATATGTACACCTTTACATGTAGTCTTCTTGCGGGACTTCACGTGTTCCAGGCCTTGAGCTTCGACCACCACCTCGGGCTAAGCTCCTCCGGAGCCGTCGGCGCCTCGGCCCCGAAAAGGCTCTAAGGTTTAGGGTTTACAGGGTTTAGGGTTTAGGGTTTCGGGTTTAGGGTTTAGGGTTTCGGGTTTCGGGCTTAGGGTTTCGAATTTCGGGTTTAGGGTTTCGGGTTTAGGGTTTGGGGTCAATAGTCAACAGGGTTTAGGGTTAATAGGGGTTAGGGTTAATAGGGTTAATAGGGTTAATAGGGTTAATAGGGTTAATAGGGTTAATAGGGTTAATAGGGTTAATAGGGTTAAGGGTTAACAGGGTTAATAGGGTTAATAGGGTTAATAGGGTTAATAGGGTTAATAGGGTTAGTAGGGTTAATAGGGTTAATAGGGTTAACAGAGTCAATAGAGTTAATAGGGTTAATAGGGTTAATAGGGTTAATAGGGTTAATAGAGTTAATAGGGTTAATAGGGTTGATAGGGTTAATAGAGTTAATAGGGTTAATAGGGTTAATAGGGTTAATAGGGTTAATGGTTAACAGGGTTAGTCGGGTTTGGGGTTTAGGGTTAGTAGGGTTAGCAGGGTTTAGGGCTTAGGGTTCATAGGGTTAATAGGGTTAATAGGGTTTGTAGGGTTTAGGGTTTAGGGTTTAGGGTTGGGCTTGAAAACAAGGGGGGGGGGGGGTCGCTACTGAGTCACCACACTCGAGTGACTTCGTCGGAAACTTGACCGGGTCCTCAACTCCTGCAAACGCCTGCGCTCTCTCGTGTGCTACTGGTACAAACTTTGAAGACGAAAGCGTAGGAGGACCACCCGTGGTTATGCAAAACCAACTTCCGCAGGTATACACGCACACACGCATGCACGCACGCACGCACGCACCCACCCACCCACCCACACACACACACACACACACACACACAAACACACACACCCACACGCACGCACACACACACACACACACACACACACAGAGAGAGGAAAAATCACAAAAACAAATACAAAAAAAAAACATGAACAACAAACATTAATAATTATCATCAATAATCAGAATAAATAATAATACAGAAATAGTAGCAATCATAATCATAATAATTAACAACAACTACTAATAAACAATAAAATAATCATAAACATAATCAATCATAATGATAAACAACATTAATAATAATCATCAATAATCAGAATAATAATAATAACAATAATAATAATAATAATAACAAATAATAAACAACAAAAAACCATAATCATAATCAATCATGATAACAAAGGTGTCCCCAGCCGCAGGCCTCGCATCGGCGGGATCGGGTGGGCGAGTCGGGTGACCGCGTGGTCCTCGGCTCTTGTTGATTCTTTTTTGTGGCTTAGGGTTCAGGGTTCAGGGTTCGGGGTTCAGGGTTCAGGGTTAGGGTCCGCCGACCCTGGCGGCGTGTTGGATGGGTTTGGCACAGCGTAAACAGGCGGTTTAGCACAGAAAGGTAGGGGTGGCCTCAGCAAAATCAGCATTTTTTGGCACACCCCCCCCCCCCACCCCTCCCCCCCCCCCCCCCCCCGCCACCCCCCCCCCCCCCCCCCCCCCCCCCCCACCCCCCCCCCACCCCCCCCCCCACCCCCCCAACCCCCCCCCCCCCCACCCCACCCCCCCCCCACCCCCCCCACCCCCCACCCACCTGTCTTTTTGGCTTGACCTTGTCCTGGTGCTACCCCCTACCCCCCCCCAAAACGTTTCACAGAACTCTGCCGAGCAGGCTGGGATGATCTTCGAACCATGCGAGCGGGTTTAGACCTCTCAACTATGCTCCAGCAGGGTCGGCGGCTTGAGCCGGAGGCTCTTAAATTTAGGGTTTAGGGTTTAGGGTTTAGGGTTGGGACGTGCCCCCTTGTACTAACAGTCCTCGTGAGGGAGCCGAAGCACTAAAAAGAAAGGGGAGTACTAAGTCCAGAACTTGCTGTCCGGAGCGTGACTATGTACCAAAGGTCATGAAGCACAAGGACATCGTACGTGAGCTGTTGTTTTTTATGGCTTAGGGTTTAGGATCATAATGGGGAGTGGGGGGAGGGGAAGGTGTAAACCAAAACTATATACATAATAATAACAAGAATGATAAGAATACTAAGAATCATCATCATCAACATCATCATCATCATCATCATCATCATCAAACAATACTAATAAGAGCGATACTAATGATGATAGCAATAATACTAACGATAATTATGATGATGATAAAAATAAGAAGAAGAAGAAGAATACATAAAAATGAAAATTAAAATAATAATGATAATAATAATAATAATAACAACAACAATACTAATGATAATAAACATTCATTCAATCGGATTTCCTCTTCTAAACTCAATAATAGATATTTAAAACTCTGTCATTGTTATTCCCAAATAGGATTCCTCTCTTAAACCCAAACAAGGGATGTTGTTGAGTATCCCCGAAGGGCCTAGCTCGCAGCCTGGTATTCGCACTTCTGGCTTCACAAGGCTGCCCTAGAATGTCACCCTTTTTTGGGGCACCGCTTCTTTAGCACCCTCCTCTGACAGGTGCCCGTTAAACCCCAAACCCGAAACCCGAAACCCTAAACCCTAAACCATACAAATAATGGGATGCTAATTTGAATGCTTGCCGGAACTCTTCTGGCTCGCACCGCCTCGGCCACTGCTCTGAGGCAGATCGCCTGAGAGGGTTCAGGGCTTGGGGTTGGGGTTTGGGGTTTGGGGTTTGGGGTTTGGGGTTTGGGGTTTAGGGTTACCGCTTGAGAGATTCGGGTTACGACATTCAGCGGGGCAGTCGGGTCCTGAGTCACCAACCGCTCGGTTGCCCGTGGAGGGTAGTCACCGGAAACTCGACTTGCTTCGGGATCCCTTGGCTCTCTCTGCTTCGGGATCCCTTGGCTCGCTCTGAACCCGACAAAAGCCCCAAGCGCTCTCATCTTCTCGAAGCTGCCACAGGCAACGGCACCCATCGGCACCAGATGTTTTTTCAGCCCAGGGTCTGACGCCCGACATCCCACTCAGGTAGGGGCCTTTTGTTAGAATAGGGTGTTGGGGATTATTCCATAGGGACCATAATAGCATACTACTCCTAGTAATATTCCGACCCCTCTAGTACCCTCTTTCTCGAAAATTATGAATTCTATGACGAAGGGGTTTTGGGGGTTTTGCGGCGCCAATACTATTCAGCCCAAGTTCCATTGATCAGCTCCGCAAAGCTGTGCGCCGGGCAATCTTCCGCCATTGCTCGGATGGTAGGTTTCAGGAAGTATCGGCTCCGAGATCAGACTCTAGAGATTTCAGAACTTAGAGAATTTTAGGGGACTCTGTTGCTGGATTTGAGTTTGGGGGGGAGCCACCCAGCTCCACCAAAGGGGCTTCGCCCACTGAGACGGAGCGACTTCCTTCAGGGTTTTTCACTTCTGAGCCAAGGCCGCAGTCGCAAGCGCCCGGGCAGACCGCACAGAGTTCACGGAGTTTTGCCCTCGACCTGGGAACTTCTGAGGAATTTGAGCACTGAACCCCTCTTTGAAAAAGAAGCAGCCATTCCCGCTGCCCTTCGGGCCCCAACAAAGGCCAAAAACAGACCCCAGACCCGGCAGGAATAGCAACAAACCGAAACGCTCACACTGCCCACGTTGAGCAAAACGCACGTGAACAAGACAAGTAGAAGCCGCAAGCCAGCTCCACCAGGTCCCCGGATTAAATGCCCCACCCCCCCGCCCCCAGTCTGGAACATGTGGCCACAAACCGTGAGTGCCAGACCATCCCACAAGGGCACGCTGCCCTAGTTACAGCCCCACGGCTCGTCTCATGCAGGTGGCCTGTGTCAGATTCGTAGAGCTCCTCGTCGAAGGTGTCCTCCACCTCCAAGGCCGCCCAAATACTCTAGGGTGTAGGGTTTTGTGTTGGTTGTTTTCGGCTTTGTCGGATGGCGGCTCTACAAATCTCGAAAGCCACCGGCGCCTCGATGTCTGCCCAGCGGGATCTGCTGGGGAGAACGTCCTTCAAGATGGGGGCCTTGGACTCCTGGCATTGGAGGGGTTCAGGGCTTAGGGTTTAGGATGTGTAGGTCGTCTTCGCTCGCTCGAACACCCCGAGCCCCTCACTCCAGCTCAGCTACGTTACACCCACCTAGACCCACCTGGGGTTTAGGGTTTCTACCCCCCCCTATCAAGGGGGCTTACTTTTTGTTCCGTGCTTATTTGGGTGCAAACCTACCTTTTGGAGGCCACAACACAAAAGAGCTTCTTCGCGTCTCGGGCTGAGGCCCCCATCAAGGAGGCTTTCTTTTTCTTTCCGTGCTTATTTGGGTACAAAAAAATTTTGGGGGGCCAACAATCCTCAGGAGCTTTTTCGCATCTGGGGTTGGGCTGCATGCTCTTGCGGGCCCTTGATCAGGCCCCGTTACAGGGAACAAACCCGTTACCGGCTGTAAAATGGTCTGGGTTTAGGGGTATTTGGCCGGGCACACTAAAGGAAGCCGACCTCCTGTGGTGGTATGGCTAAATTGCACAGCCGGCTCTACGGTTCGGATGCTTGGCTTTGTGCAAGATAGGGTTTAGGGCTTCAAGGTTCGGAGTTTGGTTTCGGGCCTGTTTCGGGTTCAGGGCTTGGGGGTTTAGGGGGTTTCGGATTTAGGGTTTAGATGAGGCCTGGAGTGGGCTGGAAAGCTGACATTGCCCCCCCCCCCCTCGCCCAAGACCCGAAACCTTCATACTCTTCACCATGTCGAGTCCGAGAAGAAACGCCCGCCTCCGGAGGCGTTGTGCGGCTTTTGCTCACATCGTTCTCCTGCCAAGCCCGCAACGGGAGGACGAAATGGGGGGGGACCCCCGAATACCCCCCCCCCCCCCCCCCCCCCCCCCCCCCCCCACATGAAAGAGGGACAACATGGGAACCCACAAGCCAGAAGCATGAGCCGCAGGCTAGGTATCAGAACTCATCAGAACTCTCTCACTCTCTCTCTATCTCTCTCTCCTCTGGGGCTTCGGCCTTAGGGTTTGAGGGTTTAGGGCTGGCTAGACTTGATGAGTCAGGTGTCTGGAAGAGCGCGACAAAAACTGATGATCAGAGCTCGCGGCCTGGACCTGTCCATTGACGAAGTTCTCTGCGGCCTGGGGCATAGTGCGAGCAGCCAGATTGCCCATCACAGGTGCGGACTTCTGCGAGGTCCTAGGCCCCCAAACTCAGGTGGGTGAATTAAGAGGTGTTAGAGTTCTGCAATCGTTGGCCTGCACAGAGCAGACCCGGAGCTCTTTGACCGGAACTATGCACCACACGAAAACAGCCCAAAAGCTAGCTCATCATCCCTTTTCACAGCCCTGGCCTTCTCGAGATGCCAAACGCCGAAAACAAGCGCGCCCCAACAGACGCAGCCACAAGACGCAGCCACAGCCCCCCTTCCTCCACACCATGAACCAAACCCCCTAAACCCTAAACCCTAAACCCCAAACCCTAAACCCTAAACCCCTAGCGCCCCCTTTGCCGGGCCTCGCAAGCATCCTGGCAACGGCTGGCCTCAACGCCCACGTTCAGGATTGAGGTTGTAGGGCTTCGGATCGTAGGATGCAATTAGGGCTTAGGGCTTCTGATCGAATTGCATAGTCTTTTGTATAGCTTTCGGACTTCAGCACGTGAGCATGCGGCAGTTGGGTTTGTTCCCATCTCTTCGTTGCAAGTATGCAGCATAGATGAAAGGTTGCAAGGGGCCATTCTGCACCTGTTCGTCCTGTGATCAAGGATGGCAAATCCGAATTTCCTGGCGCCAAGCAGCAGCCTGGTGCTCTCTGGAGAGCCGTAACATCCCCCATCCTAAGGTCCTAAGCCCGAGAATCCCTAGAACCCCCACCCCTCTAAAGCAGCTGACTCTGAGCTCGTGGCGGTCATTGTCGGAAACTGGCCCTAGCTGAATCTCAAGCCTCAGGCGGCTCAGACCGACAGACCCCAAGCTGACTAAGGGAATCAGACATGAAGAAAAAAGGGCAACCCTCTTGGGGTAGTTCCAGGGTCCCTGAGTATGGGCCCTGAAAAGGGGACCCGTTTGTACTCCTTATATACCCTGGAACCATATGAAGGGCCCTTGGAATCCCACCCCTTAAGCCCTGCGAAAAGCCCCGCCCCCCCCCTTCCGGCTCTTTCCCCACCCACCCCAAAGAAAAAACGCAGGGTTTAGCATTCAGTCTTCTGATTCCTCCCTCCTCCTCCTCCTCCTCCTCCTCCTCCTCCTCCTCCTCCTCCTCCTCCTCCTCCTCCTCCTCCTCCGCCTCCTCCTCCTCCTCGTCGTCGTCGTCCTCCTCCTCATCCTCCTCCTCCTCCTCCTCCTCCGCCTCCTCCTCCTCCTCCTCCTCCTCCTCCTCCTCCCTCCTCCTCCCCCCTCCTCCTCCTCCCCTCCTCCTTCCTCCTCCTCCTTTTTCCTCCTCCTCCTTTTTCCTCCTCCTCCTTTTTCCTCCTCCTCCTTTTTCCTCCTCCTCCTCCTCCTCCTCCTCCTCCTCTTTTTTCTTTGTTTCTATTGCTATCATTGTTCCGAATATTTCTACTACTTCTATTCTTTCAACCGTATGCTTGCTGCTAGTCCGTCCGACTATTCCATTTGTTTCATACGATGACGTATTGCCACTATTCTTGCGCCTACTAGTAGTGCACTTATGACGACGACCACGACTACGACTACGACTACGACTACGACTACTGCTGCTGCTACTGCCACTTCAACTCTATTCCTACTCCTACTCCTACACTACTACGCTACTTTACTACGCTACTGCACAACTACACTACTACACTACTACACTACTACACTACTACACAACTACACTACTACACTACTACACTACTACACTACCACACGACTACACGACTACACGACTACACGACTACACGACTACACGACTACACGACTAAACTACTACACTACTACACTACTACACTACTACACGACTACACTACTACACGACTACACGACTACACTACTACACTACTACACTACTACACTACTACACTACTACACTACTACACTACTACACTACTACACGACTACACGACTACACGACTACACTACTACACTACTACACTACTACACTACTACTCTGCCACACTACCACACTACCACACTACCTAGTCCTTCATATTCCGCCATTCAATTCCAGCGAGTCTGCCCCAAAGGGCCCTAGCAACTCCCTGAGGGCAGCACACGTCGTCCGAGATGAAATCGCCTTGCTTCGAGGGAAAGCGGCGGGTAGTGGTTACAGGTCTTGGCACCTTTTGGTTCCCAAACTCTCCTTACTTCTGAGCTGAGTTTGGCAAATACCTTTTGACCACAAGACCCACACAACACTGGGCTGAGAAGGCTCCGATCACCCCCGGAGTGCGGCCCAGCAGCAAACAAGGAAGGGGCGACCCCGCAAAGGATTGCAATCGCGAGTTTGAAAGCTCGGCAGTTCCAACAGCTGCGGGCACGAGTTCGGAGAATCATGTTTCCACAGCAGGTCTGGCCATGCAACGAAGACCCCCACACAGCAGGCAACGAGGACCCAGGAAAGCAATCCCTTCGCCCTTATATGAAAGGCCCCGACACTTCAATTGGTTAAGATTCCCATGAAAGTATGCTACAGGCGGTAAAGACTGAGAGCGCGTTATGCAGCGGGGTGTTGCCCTCCAAATCGGTCGGTGCTACCCGGCCTCTGGAAGCCTTCCAGAAAACATATGCGTCTCGGGCTTAGGGAGGCTTAGGGAGTCTTAGGGAGGCTTCGGGAGTCTTAGGGAGGCTTAAGGATGCGTAGGATCCCCCTTCAAGAATGCACTCGTCTTTTCTCATCGAGGGCATGAGCTCATCTCGCGAAGAAGGGACGGGCAGACGCAGGGGCCTGGCGAGGCACGGAAGGCCTGAGGAGTCAGGTTTTGTAGGGGTTATAGGGTTGGGTATTCCCCCTTAGACTAACAGTCCGGGTACAAGAACCCGATTAAGGACTGCTAGTCTAAGGGGGGGAACATCCCAAGTTACAGGGCTCGTAGGGCAGTCCAAGAACCCAAGGCGCAAGATGCTGAGGGGCCCAGCCTGTCTCAGCGCTTGGACAGCTGCTTCCACCTGAAATCTGGCAACTGAGCGAGTGCTAATGACCTTGACATAGGGGGGGTTTCGAAATTAGGGGTACCTTCTTGGGGTCCTCATTATAAGGGAGTCCGGCCATGTTGAGGTCTATCAGAGGGGTCCCTTAACTTCGTAAATCCCGATATGCAGTCAAGAGGAACATCTTCAAGGGGCCCAAGGCTTCATTTTGGAGTCATGCTGCCTAAGGTTTAGGGTTCAGCGAGGCATGAAGCAAGAGTGCCTTGTGGGTGAGGTTCAATCCCTAAGCTTCTTTTAACAGTTCCCACAACAGGTACTTCGAAATAGTTGCTCCCGTAATGGCTCAAACCCTACACCCTGAAACTGCAAGCTTCCTACGCTGGGGCCCGAGCCCCTTGTATCTGTTCATCCGCCTCTTGTACCCCGTGATGCCGGGCTGCCGTTGCTGCGCAGGCGCGAGCTGTTTTCAGTGCTCAGGGCTTGGGGTGCCCAACTGAGGCCAGAAACACCAACGATCAACACGGCAGAGGAGGCTGTATCGGGCACAGCGTATACGATAAGGGCTTGATGCTCAAGGTCCGCGCGGGGGCTCTGACAAGGAAATTACAGTGCCCGCCTGAAATCGTCTGATCCCGGCAACAGCCCCGTATTCCTCCGCAAGACATGATAAGACCTGTACATAGGCCACAAAATGGCAAAGATAGCAAAGTTACAGGATGTTCCGGGACCCATTGGCCCATATGAGGTGAGATTTCGGCGGGCTTCCAAGGCCTCGAAACCCAGAGCTTCCAACCTTCTTAGCAAGACTCGCCCAGGTGCAGAGCCTGAACAAAGTTTAGGTCCCTGCCTGACCGCATCTCAAATCCATCAACAGCCCTTCAGAACTAAACTCCAACCGGGTAACCGGTGGCCCTTGCCAAGTCGCCCACACCAAAACCAACAAAAACAAAGAAAGCACGAGTGACAGCAGGGCAGGTGCAGTACACCCATTCCCATCAAAGGATGCCTCACCACCCCCACACGCAATCACCCGTCATTAAAAACCCTGTTCGCGCCTTGTGCCTGCGGACGCGGCAGGTTCGCCAAAGCTTGCCAAAACGGACGATCTGCGGACATCCAAGATGGGTGGGCACATGGGTTGCCGGCCTTCCTTCCTGGCAATCTCAACACCCAAGCTATGCGGCTATGCAATTTGCCCCTCCTGGAGAAGAAAAAACACATATTTACAAGAAAAGCTTACCCTACTTTGGAGTACACCCTGGAAACAATATATACTTTTTCGGTATAAGTAGATGAAATAGGAACCCAGAACCAAAAGAAGTATTAAAGTATAGTACTCCAAAACCCAGCTCAGAAAGCCAACCCTGCAGCACCAACATCCACCAGGCTAGGGCTGCCACGATCTGGCACTCTTTGCAGCGAGGATAGATGGCCGTTCTGGCATCGCCGGGTTTGGGGGCGATAGGGTGTAGGGTCTAGGGTCTAAGGTTTAGGGCGCAGGATTTAGGGTTTAGGGCTTCCAGGCAGGCGAAGACCTCACCAGAGACTCAATGGTGATTCTTTTGGTTGTCCCGCCCCCACGAATCAGGATCTACAATTGGTCATACGAGGGTTCATGCATGTTTTTTGGGAAACCGTCCTTATCAACCGTTCAATCGGTCTCGCCTCTCTCCACAACTCCTGTGCTTGGAACCCCTAAACCCGAAACCCTAAACCTTAAACCCTAAACCCTAAACCCTAAACCTTAAACCCTAAACCCTAACTCCTTGCCAACGTGCCGGCAGGGCCGGTAGCGCATGTACAGCTTGGTCAGCGGCTCGATAACCTGCTGCAGACCATCCTGGCTGGTTTACAGAAGGCTCGCGGCCTCGTGAGGGTTTACATGGGTTTACGTGGGTTTAAGAAAGGTTTACATGGGTTTTCTCGGGCTTCAAGGGCTTGCTTACGGGCCCGCCCTCTTTGCGACACCCCGACAACTGACACCTTAAAGCCTCAACCCTGCCAGAACCCCCACATCAAGAATCCTTCTTCAGCCTCACGTCTCAAACCCCGAAACCCAGAAGAAGCGGAAGGGTTTGCCTTCTTGGGCAAGGGCGCGCTGCCGGCCGGAAGGAGCTGAGGGTTCCTCACGCATGTAGACATTTTCCCACAATAGGGGGTACCCCGTTTATACCCCAAATAGAGTAGAACCCCCTTAACGGGACCCCAAAAAAAAAAGGGTACCCCTATTGTCGGAAACCCCCCATTTAGGCTTTTGGCTTAGAGGGTTTCTGGTTTGTGGATCAGGGCCTGGTTTTATTGTGTGGGTCTTTGGGCTTTGGCTTAGGTTTAGAGGAGGGTTTCAGGCTTATGGTTTCCAGAAGGGCTTCAGACTTCTCTTTAGTCAGAAGGGACCGGTTGAAAGCTTGCAGGGCTGAGAAGTTTATAGGGCATATGAGGCATATATGCAGGTCCGTTCAAAAGGCAAGGGTGTAGGGTGTTGGGATTTGGGTTTTGGGTTCACATCTTCGAGGGAGCAAGTCGGCAATCTTTATCGGTCGTAGGATATGTGCGCGCAGTGTCCAAAACTCTGGATGCTCCATGGCAAGATGTCTCCAACTTCCCTGTCCTAGCCTGCTAAGGATCATGACCTACAGCGACCTGCTGCTGCTAGGGAATTTCCCAGAAACGAGGCCCTCTGGTCTTGGAACCCCAGATTAACTGCATATGTCTTATGGTTCCTTATTGGGTGCACCCCTAGAAGGGACCCTTAATCTTATTCCCCTACATACTTCCTATGTGTACTCTATATAGTCCCTACATACCTAAGTAGGCCCCCAAATGACCCCTAAAATCACCCCTGATGTCCCTTATCAGGGTCCCTCATTTAGTCCCTTGAAATTTACAACACGTATCCAGCAGCAGAACGATCTACAGCAGCCGAAGGGCGGAGAGGGGCCAACGAGCCCGTCTGCTGCGTTGAAGAAGTCCTCCGCGGCCTCGAAACACGAAACCCTTGACCCTAAACTGCAATTGCAGCAGGGATCCTACTGGCCCTAAACCCTAAACCCTAAACCGTGAATCCTAAATCCTAGACTCTAGACCCTAAGAAACTGATCCTTCAGGGGTGCGAACTCTCTGGGTCCCCTAAGAAACGCCCTCAATTGGAACTTAGGCCGAAGCTGTCAGGGCACCATCCAGTCCATCCTCCCGGGCGAAGGTCCAGACAAGCTCCAGAGAGAAAGGCATTGACAACATGTATATGTACATACATATATATATATATACATACACATATACATGTACATGTACATGTAATATACTTCGTTTGTTTATATCGTTTATCATAGATGATATACTATATTTTCATTTAAATAGACTCTATATATATATATATATGCTACACCCCCCCCCCCCCAGCGACCTACTCTTTTTAGGCCATTTTTACCAAAAAAAAAAAAAAACAAAAAAAACAACGAAGGCCCAAAAGTCGCGTAGTTAATCACCGGGTAATGAAGGACATCTATTGGGACACCCACCTCGCAGGCTCCGATAAGGCAGCATTGGATTAATCTATATTTTGAATCTGAAGCGGACAATGAGGTTTTTAGATCTTTAGTTTTTTCTAGGCAAACTGTGCGTTTAGCTGGCAAATAATGTTTTGTTGGGCAACTAATATATTTTTTGTATATACAATTGTGTTTGTACTAGGCAAAGAATTAATCAAATACTATCTGACTAGTCCACTGAAATACCTTATGTTTACATATTCATGAAACATTGTGCTTATTACTGTATGCGAATGTAACTCCTGGAGTATTAAGTAAATAGCCCAATCTGACTCAAGCGAATACTATTCAAAATGGCACTCTCAACTAAATATGAAATAAACACGAACGGCAACGGAAGCGATTCTACTTCAATAACAATGTAAAGACAAGTACTAAATAAAGACCACTTATATACCTTCCTAGAAAAGTAGTTAGTAAAGGCCATAGCACAAGAATACTGCTTTGTACATAGAAAAGAATTTGTACTAGGCAAAGTATAAACCAAATACTATCTGAAAAGTACACTGTAATAACTTATGTTTACATATTCATGAAATACTTCTTGTTTTGAAATCATCATTCTATGCGATTTATCTACTAGAGTAAGTATTAAGTAAATAGCCCAATCTGACTCAAATGAACACTATTTAAAATACCAGACCCAACCAAAATGTGAAATAACAACTAATGGAAATGGAACACTATTCAAAATACCATACCCAACTAAAATTTGCAATAAACACTAATGGAAATTGAAGCGGTTCTACTTACATAACAATGTAAAAGACTTCTCAAGTACTAAATAGAGACCACTTATATACCTTCCTAGAAATATAGTTAGTAAAGGCCATGCACAAGAATCCTGCTTTGTACATAAAAAGAATGTGTGCTAGGCAAAGTATTCATCAAATACTATCTGAAAAGTCCACTGAAATATCTTATGTTTACATATTCATGAAATAGCGCCCAATTTGACTCAAGTGACTACTATTTAAAGGACCTAACAGCAATAGAAGCGATTCTACTTGCATAACAATGAAATCTTGGTTTCTGAAGTATTTCATTAAGACCACTTATATACTATGTCCGAAGGCACAATTTGCAGAAGCAAGCTTAAAAATGCACAATCTTCCTAGACAAGTACTTAGTGAAGGCCATGCACAAGCAAATTCGCAAGTACAAAAACACACTTAAAAATGCGTAGTTATTGCCACGTAAAGGCGAACCAAAAAACCAAAATACCAAAACCAAAAAAACCAAAAAAAACAAGAAAACCAAAACCAAAAAAAAAACAAAAAAAAAAACAATTTTCCGGAACTCTTGGAGAAGCCTCGTAGGGATTCCTGAGAGTTCCGGAAAATTGGTGTTTTTGGTTTTTTTGGTTTTGGTTTTTGTTGGTTTTTTGGTTTTGGTTTTTTTGGTTTTTTTGGTTTGGTGTTTTGGTTTTGTTAATTGCCCGTGTATTCGGATTTTAGTTTCATTTTAGTCTACGCCCTAAGAAACACGCTATATTGCGCACCGAGTTTGCTTGCAGTGCAGCTGGATGACTTAAGACAAGTCACTGGGGGGGGGGTACCATATATACATATATATGTGTATATATATATATATACAATATAGGTATGTTGTATTTTATGTGTGTATATATATATGTATAATGATATACTGCGTATATTTTAAAAATTCACAAAATAGCCCAAGCAGCAGCCTTGATTCTCTCTGAACCTTCGACAAATCGACAGATCCACAGCCGAAGACCGAGGGCCACGCCCCTAAGCCTTGAAAACCGCGAAGTCCCCTCCCGTTTCGGGTTTAGGGTTTAGGGTTTGGGGTTTGGGGTTTGGGGTTTGGGGTTTAGGGTTTGGGGTTTGGGGTTTGGGGTTTGGGGTTTGGGGTTTGGGGTTTGGGGTTTGGGGTTTGGGTTTAGAGCCCCCCCCCCCCCCCGGCCCTAAACCCAGAAACCTAAACCCTAAACCCGAAGGGCTTCGGGAGGATTACCGAGCGCAGGAGGCTCCTCCAGGCAGTCCTGGATCGAATCCCAGGGGGCCTCTGAAGAGTTCAGCCGGCGCTTGGTGCGTTCTTTCTGGCTGGTTCTTCGTAGGAAGTGAGGGCACGAGGACCCCTTAGAATCCTTTAACGGGTATATATGAGGGAATTAAAACCCCATATCATCCCTTAAGGGGTAGATACGAGGGAATTAGGGCCCATGTAGGGTATCTAGGGGGCCTCCCCCTCATTCCCTACTAAGAACCAGGGGGCTTAGGGTTCTTGGCAGCTCTTCGGGCGCCTGTGGCGCTTGGGTTTCTTGAGTCTGGTGTTTAGGGTTTTGGGTTCTGGGTTTAGGGTTTAGGGTTTAGGGTTTAGGGGCCTTTCGGGTCTTTGGGGTTTAAGGCTCGGCGCTTCTTAAGCTGCAGGAACATCGACGCCCGAGATCCCCATGCAGACGAGGCCTTCAACCCGCCCTCCTTCACAAGTTCTAGGGACGAGGGGCCGCACTATGGCCCCATGTGAAGAACTCTCCTTCAAGCAACTCCGTTTCTCCGCCCGCCCCTCTTGATATCGCAATAGCCTGCGGAGTGCACCTTCGTCCACGAAGGCACGGATTGGAACGGTACTATCGACTCAAATGGTCGCACTAGCGATTGGCCTCCAGGAGGCAGCGGGAGCGGCCCTTACCGAAGACGAGGAATACCATATGTGGGTTGACCTAAGTCTCTGGGCCAAATTGAAGGCCCTAAACCGAACACTGCACCGAAACTGCACAAACACTACTCAAACTGCTAGAAGCCTCTAGGGTTGAGGTTTCTAGCTTAACCCCCAAACATGCGGTGCCAGGAATTGCTCCCACTGACATCCTTGGCGGCAGTCAACCCTGCTCCGGTGACCTGCGAACTCGGAAGGCTTCATCCCCCCCCCCAAACCCAGATACCAAGAAGGTGAAGGTCGAGAACGCAGGGTTCGGGGTTTAGGGTTAGGGTTTAGGGTTTAGGGTCCCTATGTTGGGGGGAGAAGCTCTATGAGTACGAACCGGGCAGGGTTCAACAGCATTCGAGATGTAACTCCTTTTCTAGATTTTTCTAGCAAACCACACCAGTTCTTGTTAAAGCATGAACGTGCTGCTGCTATGCGGACATTTCCCAAATAGGGGTACCCCTTTTTCGACCCCAAAATAGAGTAGGATCCCCTTAAAGGGACCCCCCCAGAAAGGGCACCCCCATGGTCGGAAAACCCCCCCTTGTAGTGGAGTGGCCGGCACAGCATGGCTCCAGGATGCACTTGCGCGCTCTTGCAGCGCGTTTATAAGAAGCGATGCATGGAGCTGCAGAAGGCTGCTGGCGCCGGCGCCACGTGCCAAAACTTGCAGCTGAAAGAAACGACATCCGCCGAGATGGCAAAAAGACTTTAATGCTAGAGTGCAACTCGAATACGCTCTATCGATTTTCTCACGTTTTACACTTCTTCCAGCGGCATTCTGCATCGTGGCCCCCGAGAGGGAAGAACCAGCCAACAACTCAAGCGCTGCGCGATGCACCCCACAACTGACCGCTGGGCCCGCATGGCGGTGGGTTAGTCTCTCATGATGACAGTCTCCGAAACCCAAAGAGGCGCATCCTAAACCCGCAAGCCTAGGGACGAGGTCTCGAACCTTCAAGCAACTCCGTTTCTCCGCCCGCCCCTCTTGATATCGCAATAGCCTGCGGAGTGCACCTTCGTCCACGAAGGCACGGATTGGAACGGTACTATCGACTCAAATGGTCGCACTAGCGATTGGCCTCCAGGAGGCAGCGGGAGCGGCCCTTACCGAAGACGAGGAATACCATATGTGGGGTTGACCTAAGTCTCTGGGCCAAATTGAAGGCCCTAAACCGAACACTGCACCGAAACTGCACAAACACTACTCAAACTGCTAGAAGCCTCTAGGGTTGAGGTTTCTAGCTTAACCCCCAAACATGCGGTGCCAGGAATTGCTCCCACTGACATCCTTGGCGGCAGTCAACCCTGCGCCGGTGACCTGCGAACTCGGAAGGCTTCATCCCCCCCCCAAACCCAGATACCAAGAAGGTGAAGGTCGAGAACGCAGGGTTCGGGGTTTAGGGTTAGGGTTTAGGGTTTAGGGTCCCTATGTTGGGGGGAAGCCCTATGAGTACGAACCGGGCAGGGTTCAACAGCATTCGAGATGTAACTCCTTTTCTAGATTTTTCTAGCAAACCACACCAGTTCTTGTTAAAACATGAACGTGCTGCTTCTATGCGGACATTTCCCAAATAGGGGTACCCCTTTTTCGACCCCAAAATAGAGTAGGATCCCCTTAAAGGGACCCCCCCAGAAAGGGCACCCCCATGGTCGGAAAACCCCCCCTTGTAGTGGAGTGGCCGGCACAGCATGGCTCCAGGATGCACTTGCGCGCTCTTGCAGCGCGTTTATAAGAAGCGATGCATGGAGCTGCAGAAGGCTGCTGGCGCCGGCGCCACGTGCCAAAACTTGCAGCTGAAAGAAACGACATCCGCCGAGATGGCAAAAAGACTTTAATGCTAGAGTGCAACTCGAATACGCTCTATCGATTTTCTCACGTTTTACACTTCTTCCAGCGGCATTCTGCATCGTGGCCCCCGAGAGGGAAGAACCAGCCAACAACTCAAGCGCTGCGCGATGCACTCCACAACTGACCGCTGGGCCCGCATGGCGGTGGGTTAGTCTCTCATGATGACAGTCTCCGAAACCCAAAGAGGCGCATCCTAAACCCCCAAGCCTCAACGGGCTTCTCAGACATGAGGACTACTACGACTCCTCCGCCAGTCATGGTTCTCTCATGCGAATTTCAGGCTAAACAAAACCAGACTCGCTTTATTCTACTTCTTGCACAAAGACCTAGCCCTTGGTGCAGACTACAAGCCTGGCAATTTCCCAGTGCATAAGATCATGAGAGTTTGGTGCTTCAGCCATGCAGGCGACAGCATGTCACAACGGTCTCGGAACTGCGCATCCCTGTCGCTGCATGCAACTCTTCCCCTCAAAACCCTTAAAGGAATACGGCAGGCTTTAGACCCTGACGGCTCAAGGGGTGTTGCGTGAAGGTTAGGGTGAGGGTTTGGGTGTAAGGTTTAGGGGTGAAGGGGCTTCTGCGAAATGCGGCGGCAGGGATGCATGAACTTGCTGATGAAGTCTACACAATCATGTCGACACTTGACCATCTGTTAAGCCCGGATAGCGGGCTAGGGCTTCAGGAACCTTACACCCTACGCCCGACCAAAGGCTTCGGCTTAGCAACCTACTTCAAGCTACTTAGCCCTGACATGCGTGCCAATGGTCTTGGGCTTTGGGGACACTGGGGGGTTCATGGCAGCTGATGGGCTGCTCCATTTGGAGAAGGTACAAAATCCCGCGTCCTCAGACTACCCATGAACCTCCGAGCAGGATCGCCGAGACTCAAGCGAGTCATGGTCTTCTTTACATGATGGGCATCAGAGCTCGAACGTCAACGACCTGATCGCCATTTTCCCAAATCAGTGAGAAGTTCAGGACGGGGGCTTGGAGCGCCCGGCCTCCCAATTGCTAGAATCTCGAACCCAAATCCCAATCCCAAACTTTGAACAGGGCCGAATATCGAAAGCAGCCCGGGATCTGTCAAGGTAGAGCTAAGGCCGCAGCCCCATTGCATGGCTTCGCAGCTGCTGGTAGCTGGCGGAAGGAGCCTGCGAAGGCCAAAAGGGTTTAGGGTTTAGGGTTTAGGGTTTAGGGTTTAGGGTTTAGGGTTTAGGGTTTAGGGTTTAGGGTTTAGGGTTTAGGGTTTAGGGTTTAGGGTTTAGGGTTTAGGGTTTAGGGTTTATGGCTCAGCCCCAAAAACCTCGATGCCCAATTTGATCCTTGCGGAACACACTGCAACTTGAATCTGGAACCTTGGGTTACCGAAAATTTTGGGGCGCTGATTTACAGCCTCCTCGGGCAGGAGCCGCACCAAGGCCGTCACGTTCATCTTGCTCAGGGTCCTTGGATTAGCTTACTGTTGGTTAGCAGGGAATGAGGGAACTAGGGCCCTATATATACCCTCTATGTATAGGGCCCTAATTTCCCCCAGGGCTCAGAGAGCTTTGGGTCTTTTGAGGCAAGGAAAAGGAAAAAATCTCAAAGCATGCCCAAGAGGATGAGAGCATCTTATTCAGCCTGATGAGCTCCTTGCAAGGAATCGCAGCATGGCCGGCATGGCCTTGGGAGGTCTCCTTGCCAAACTTGTCCTGCAACGTGCGCAGGAATTCCTCGGACTGCTCCAGGAGTCCTGCTCGTTGAGCTTTCTCCCGGATATGCGGGCCGAGCAAGCAAAGCAGCTCTTCCCCTGTGAGGCCCTGCATTCGAGCCCTCTGCTCTTGGTTCAGCTTCGGAGTCGGAGAATGTTCGGTGTGGTGACAGAACCGGCACAAGGCGCCCTGCTGACACACGCTCCCCTTCAGGATGTAGACACAAGGTCGGTGGCACAGCACCGGATGACCCCAGCCTCCGCAACTCTTTGCTTCGGTGTGTAGGTCATGCTGCCCTCAGCACCAGCTTGATAGCGGATGAGAGTGGCTTGACAAACCGCAAGCTTGAACCTGACACAGCTGCGGAAACGGCAGGAACACCCTGAAGCGATGAACATGGGTGTCACGAGTCACGAGGACTCTTAGGAGCTCCAAATGCCGAGAATCTGCTTTCGAACATCACACACCGTCTGAGAGCGGCACCAATTCTTCCTGGAGCAAGGAGCAAGCTTCACTGGTTCTCTTGGCCAAGGATATTCGGGCCTCAACCTTAGAATGAAGGTCCGCTCATGTAATTGAAGGCTCCAGAATACTCTGCTTGGAACCCCAAAAGGCACCACAACGCCGAGAACTCCATGTTGGGATGTTCCCCTTATACTAACGGTCCTTAATAGGGATTACCATCCCCCTACTATAATCCCCCCCAATTAAGGACTGCTAGTATAAGGGGGAACCCTAAACCCTAAACCCTAAACCCTAAACCCCAAACCTAAACCCTAAACCCTAAACCCAAGGGGGAACATCCCAAAACTCCATTACAAGCGGAGCCCCTCAAAGAGACCGTGGTAGATCCTGGGTCATCTTCGCACTGCGAGCCGCTGGAGGCCTGGAGCCAGTCCGGGTGTAGGGTTTAGGGTTCAGGGTTAGGGTTTAGGGTTTAGGGTTTAGGGTTTAGGGTTTAGGGTTTAGGGTTTAGGGTTTAGGGTTTAGGGTTTAGGGTATAGGGTATAGGGTATAGGGTATAGGGTTAGGGTTTAGGGTTTAGGGTTTAGGGTTTCTCTCATGTTGCCTGGGTAATGGTTGCGGTGGCTTTTCTGGGGAACCCAAACAAGGCAAGGGCAACAAGACCATGACCATGACCAGATTTCAGGTCTGGCCAGCTGCTCAGAAAGGGAAACCCTAAAGCCATGCACCCTGGAAACCCTAAACCCTAAACCCTAAACCCCTGAACCCTAAACCCCGAAACCCCAAAGGCCCCTTCAAAAATGCGCAAGCTCTGAGCCCAGAGCGGGACGAAGCCCTGCTGCGAGTAGCTCAGGGAGAATGCCGCCACAGCAACGGCCGCAGCCACCTGGGACCCGGTTCAGGGTGTTTAGTCTAAGTTTAGTCCGGTTCAGGGTGTTTAGTCTAAGTTTAGTCATCTGGTCTCTTATACTATAGTTATAGGTCTCAGGGTTGTGTTCAAGTGCTCATGGCGTTAGATTTGGCCCAGGTGTCGGACAACTGGGCCCCTTTTCAGATTTCAGGGTTTGGGCTCCAGGGTACTCCCGCGTGCAGCCTACGGCCGCACGGACTCTGCACAGCCTCCGCTAAGCAATGGCCCGCAAGAGCCCTCAGCACCAATCGCAAGATAGACTTCATCAACTAAGGCAAGGCAGCTGACAGACCCTACACCCTAAACCCTAAACCCGTCTTTAACCCGAGCCTTCGTAACCCGAGCCTAGGGGCCCGGGCCAGAAGGCCTCGCCCACCGCGTGGCTGGCTCTGCACCTGTCAGCACCACCCTTTGCAGGGAAACTTTGTGAGACCTGACCTCTGTGTGTAAATGTATATATATATATATATGTATATATATGTATATATATATATATCTATCTATCTATTTTTGTATAAATATATAAATATATAAACATATACATCTATTTGCATACCAGATAATGAAATTTAAGATCGTATAATGCAGTGTAAGGTGCAGAATTGCAAGCGAAATGGCATTTCTCCAAGATCATGCCCAGCAGTCTGCTCCCCAAGCAGAGTTCCCACCAAACCCCCAAAACCCTAAGGCCCACAACCCCTACCTGACTCCCAAGTGCGGCCTTGACTGTCTGCTCTGCAACCCTTAAACCTCCAGCCACTATAGTCACTATGTTTAGTTCCGAGGGCTGCCTCTAGAAACCCAAGAACCAACATGGTAAACAAGAACGCGCTCGAGCTTCCGGGTGCTATAGCTTTCGTGACATGTGCACGCCCACACACGCCCCGCACGTTCCAGCGAGCTCAATCGGAAGAACTCCCGCCTCTGGAACCAACATCCTGAAAGGCCGTGCACTGTGGAGGATGTTGAGGATTTTTGCCCGGGGTGGCTTCTCTGAGTTCTGAGAATATACTCTAACCTTAGCGCAAGCTGCCCTGCCCAACTTCGAGATCCAACACGCCATCTGCCTCTCCTCGGCAGGAGCGCACCGGGTACGCGGTTGAATGTGCGCCTTGTTCTGTGCGGCTCTTTGCTTGAGCCACAACTCGCATCAAGAAGCAACTCTCTTTCTCGGGAAGGTTTCCCCAAGAGGTGTACCCATTTGGGGGGCTCTTGTTTTGGGAGGAACATTCTCCAGAATGCAATGGCTGCATGTCCCAATCGAGGTGTCTTTGTCTGTGATGCAACTCATGGAGCGGGGAGAAAGGGGGTAGGGAGGGGCACCGAGTTTGGGGCGGAGAAGAATTCACCCTGGTGGAAGGACGCCCTAAGCCCTAAGCCCAAACCCAAAACCCTAAACCCTACACCCTAAACCCTGAACCCTACACCCTAAACCCTGAACCCTACACCCTAAACCCTGAACCCTAAACCCGAAACCCAAAACCCTAAACCCTACACCCTAAACCCTGAACCCTACACCCTAAACCCTGAACCCTAAACCCTAAACCCTAAACCCTAGGTGCCCATGTTTCTTGGCGTTTCTTTTTTTCGTCGCCTGTCGCAGCTCCTGCAGGTTGCCTCTTTAAGGCGCCAAAGCCGCTTTCCTTCATCTCAGTGAAGCTCTCTGAGACCACGGAACCTCCTGCAGGTCTACTTGGAGGTTCATGGGTAGTTAGAAGTAGGGTTACCAGTATGGTAACTAACCCATGAACCTCCAAGCAGGGTCTAAGGTGCATATGTCTCACGTCTCAAAAAGGGGGACCTGGGCTGGGATGGATGAGTATTGGCTGGGGTGTGACAGCCATGGGTCAGCGTCATCCCTCCTGCCTTCTCAGCCCCACCTGGCATTCGGAATGACCCGACTGGTGCTTGCTATGACCCTCCGTCCTACGTGAGCTCAAAGTGGCGCCCACATCAATGCGAGTAGCGACACTCGGTCTCAACAGAAATACTGGCCCGGAGATTGGTGGTTTTGGGTGGAGCTATTCGCCTCGGCCTCCGAGAGGCGTCTGGACCCCTTTGTCAACCCCCACCAAATCCCCGAACCCTGGAAGACTTGTCTGGGACTTCCCGCCCACACAGACCTTGACCCGGAACGTTCGGACATCTCGTACCCAGACCGGCAATGTCCGACGCTGCACGAAGCCTCAAGCAAAAATGTGCCACTCTGCCACCCCGCGGCCTCTTGGAATCCCCCGACCCCCGACGCCGCATGAGGCCTGGCCCCTGACCCTAGCCTGCACCAAGCGACATTTTCTGGGCGGTGGTTTCAAACTGTTTTGCTGTGAAGTCTGTTTGCACATGTCAAGCGATTCCTGCCTTTATCCCTAACCGGTAGTTCGGGTTTAGGGTTCAGAATCAGTATGAAACCCTTAAGAAGACCATTGCACCCAAAGTCCACAAATAAAGCCCTGGAGCCCTATATACTGCAACTTGCACAAAGTCCTGCACCTCAGCCAAACAGCTCGCACGCTCAACCTTGGCCGTCAGTTTGGGTGGGATGATCCTCACTTGGGTTTAGGGCTTAGGGTATACGGTACAGAGTTTAGGGCTTAGGGCCTGGGGCGTAAGGTTTCGCAACTTGTGAGTCCGCACGGGTGACTAGTCTCACTGGTGGGAGCCTCACTGCAAGACTCCCGAGCAAGACTACAACTACCTAGCAGATGTAGTATGCGTATGCCGACGTTGAAATGGGTCGCCCCGTGAACCATCTTACAGAAACGTTATGTTGCATAGTATTGCCCAGGCACGAACAGGGCGACACCGCCGTACTGTGAGAAGCATGAAGATAGGAAAAGCATATGGATATGCAGATGATATGGTGCTTTCAGCTACTTGCCTGCATCGCAGCCCAGTTATGCCATGCTAGTATGCCAAGCGTTTTCTTGACCCTCTTCAAAACCAACTGCGGTTCGGGCGACTATACAACCAAAGTTGCTTGCAACTGTATTGTTCTCCGCACTTGTTCGAGCAACCAAGTTCGCATTTAAGTTCTGAAGCGTAAGGCCCCGGCTCCGGGCCTACACTGGAACAGACTTGGGCACTTCCCCAAACAGGAAACACCCTGATGCAAAGTAGTAAAACCCTCGTGTCAGAATTCCCCAAAAAAGGGCACCTATTTCCGGAAAGCCCCACTTGAGTGTTGACTTCATTACTTTAAGAAGAAACACTAGAAGATGCGAGCTGGCGCATGTAGTACGTAAGGCCAGCCCCTCAACCCGCACAGCTGCTCGGTTGCTAGTGCACGTTCCAATCCCAACCCTTTGAAAACACCAGGGGCCCAGCATCGTACATTTCTGCTCAGCCCTTTTTTGCTCATCCCAACCTTGAGTACACCCTTCTTAGGGCATCTTAAAACCCTTAGAAAGCCCAGAAAGCGAAAAGCGGTGCCCCCTCCGGAACGAGGGCTCCACCGGGCGCAGCGCCAGGGGCACCAGGGCCATGGGCTTCCACTGCCTCCAACGCCACTGAGGTCTTCGGCTGGCCGAAGCTCCACATGACATGGGTAGTTCTCTTTGTTGGGTCTCCTACATAGTAGGTCACCCCTAAAAGAAGGACCTTAGAAAGGACCCTAACTTCGTAAACTGCTCACAGGGGAGGGTTTCAGGACGGCTTCTCCTTCTTCTGAAGAGAAGGAAATCTCCCAAGCCCTTGCCTTGAAACCCCAGTTGCTAGCCCTTTGAAGCCATAAACCTCTGAACCCTGAACCCAAAACCCTAAACGCTAAACCCCAACATCCAAAAACGTCCCACTAAACAGCCCCCCCCAAAAAAAGACGGGCCTCGAGCAGTCGCAGCATGGCCGCCTCGGCCCTGCTGAGCTCCTTGCTGCCAACGCAGTGCGAAAGAGGGGCTATAGGGGCTATAGGGGCTATAGGGGCTTTGGGGGTTTGGGGGGTTTGGGGGGTTTGGGGGGTTTAGGGGCTTGGGGGCTTTGGAGCCGACGAGTTGATTCAAGGGCCTCGGGTTTTTAGGGGGAGGGGAGGTCTCAGGGTTTGGAGTTTTGGGATGAGGGTTCACGCCTTAGCCCCGAACTCCCAACCCCCAAACATCCCCAAACCCTCGGCTTCAGTCCTGACATCGCCGCTGGCTTTGGACCCGGAGGCGTTCGCTCTGTGGGCAGGAGAGCCACGTCTTATGCTGGGCCAGCATGATAGGTTTCGGGGCGTTTGAGGATTGTGGTCTTGATGATGAAGTTGAAGCAGCCGAGCGAAGCCCAAACGGACCCTGGCATGCATGCGCGTGTGAACCTTTTAATCAATGGCTCGCCCCAAGCTTCGGCACGAGGCTGCATAGCGCTACGGCCCTACTGTGTGGCCTCCCAGAACGCACGCGTGAAGGAGACGCCTCCTTCAGCATTTCGCTGGCTTGAAAATAAAATGTCGCCAAGCAGTGCGGGCAGGCTCTTTGGCCCACCCTTGTATCTTAGGGAGCAGGAGGTCCCTTTCTGGCTCAGGACTCCTCCTCCAAAGGACTTCGCCGCGGACGAAACTTGCGGGCCGCGTCGCGGAGGAGGCCTGGACAGGCTGCCCAAAAGGGGCTCGGGGCTTGCAGTGCTGGGAGGGGGGACGCCTGCATTGAGCAAGGCCACAAGGGGCAGACCTCAACTTAGGCGGAGCCCGACTCGAGCGCAAGGCCCTCAACTTATCCCTACAAGCCTGCAATGCAGGCTAAGGCTGAGGCGTGCTGTTGCGACGCAACCCGACTACCACTAAACCTCCCCATTTCCCATGAATTCGAGTCATGTGGCCGAAGAAAGGACTGGCGGCTGCCTGAGCACAAGTTGCCCGGCTTCGGAGCGAACAGGATTTGAACTCAGGGAAGTTTAGGGGCTAGGCTTGGGGGCCTGGGGCTTCGGGCTTCGGGTTTCGGGTTCGGGGCTCAGGGGTTTGGGGGGTTTAGGGATTTAGGGGTTTAGGGTTTAGATGGAGAACGAACCCCTACCCTGAAATCCCCCTAAGAGACCCACCCAAAATACCCTAACACACACACACAAAACAAAACTCTAAAAGCACTCCACATACCCTAAAAAACCCTGTACATGCCCTAACATACACTAAAGCACTCTAACAACACTCCACATACCCTTAAAAAACGCTGAAAATACCCCAAATACCCTGAGCCGCTCCTGGGCGGCTTTCCTCGGCTGCACCGGCACAGGGATGGGCGCTGAGATCCCTCGACGCGAGTTAGCTGGGGGGGGGCGGGGGGGGCTCAGGGGATGGGATCTCATATTTTTCTATATATATGGTATGTATGTTTTATAATATATATATATATATATATATATGTATAGAATCGAACAGAACAGAATTGAATTGAATTAAAATTGCATTGATTTGAACTGAACTGAATTGACTGAGAATAGTTAAAAAAACAGAATAGAATAAAATAGAATACACTAGAATAGAATAGAATAGAATAGAATAGAATAGAATAGAACCGAATAGAATAGAACCGAATAGAATAGAATATATATATCTACATATATAATATACTCTGCTATAATAGAACCCTTGCTCGGCCTGTGGAGCTGCCTTCCGCGGGCCTGCGTCCATGGTGGAGAAGGTGGGGCAAGTCTCCGGCGCGCATGCGAACCACCTGCAGAAATCAAGGCATGGAAAAGAAGATTGGGTTTGGGGTTTAGGGTTTAGGGTTTAGGGTTCAGGGTTTAGGGTTTAGGGTTTAGGGTTTAGGGTTTAGGGTCTAGGGTCTATGGTTTAGGGTTTAGGGTTTAGCGTTTAGGATTTAGGGTTTAGGGTTTAGGGTTTAGCGCTTGCTCTCTTTCGTAGGGCCGTATGGCCTTGCGGCTGGTGGGTGCTCTGTGCATGCAGCTTAGCACCGGCAGGCGATATCACGCTCTGCCGGTTCAGAGGCCCACGTCTTTCTCTGCGCCATTCTGTTGACGCAAGCTGCCGGGACCAGCAAGTGGCAACAAGCATGGTTTCGGTGGCGCATCATGTTGCAAGAGCGACAAGCAAATGGCACAGCATGCCCTGCACAGTTGCCTGGAATGATGTGCGCTGGGTTTAACACTGGAGCTGTGCACTGCTGCACGTACCAGTTCAGAGGCCAGCGCCGTGATCCTGCTCTGTGCCGCAACATTGACACCAGCGATCCGAAATTGAGATTGCAGATGTGGTTTCGGCGGCACTGGCCAGATTCAGACAGCGCTAAGTCGGAGAGCCATTCGATCATCACTTCAAACCACTTCAAGTCGATTCTGTGCGTGCGGCTTAACACCGGCAAGTGACACGAACGCACCTCTGCCGATTCAGAGGCCCACCTATTCTCTGGGCCACAAGATTGACACAAGCTGCCCGGGGCGTGGTGCGGCTGCAAGTGTGGTTTCGGTGGCCTCTTGTCTAGCTGACCTCCCATGCTGCATCTGCAAAAACAACTCTGCACCCTTCTATCTGTTTACGCGACCTTGCCATGCCCACGTACTCTCTGAGCCCAAACCGAGCTCCAAGCCAGCCACCCAGCATCTGCCAGCAGCGGTGCTCGCCTGAGTGCACCCTAAGCCCCTACTAAACCCCAAACCCGAAAGCCCAGCCATGAGAGTCCTTCGGAGCGTATGCCTCGACGAATGGACGGCTCAAGTTTTCTGGCTTGAATTGGGGGGGGGGGGGTACATTGCGTCTGAGTGTTGCGGCGGTTTAGGGCTTAGGGTTTCTAGCCTTCCAGCACAGAAGCCTAGCACTCCAAGCCAGGGCACCCCGTACAAAGGACTGTCGGCACTCATGGGCTTTACAATAGAGGTCTACGCGTGTGCATGCATATGCGTGTTCTTTACTTCTAGTTATACAGACCTATGCATGCTCTAAGCAGGCATACACACGCGTAGCAGTTTGTGGGGTTTAGGGCTTTGGGTTCGGTATGATGTGTTCCAGACAAACCGTTTTGCCGATTTCTGCCCCGAAGCAGACCCTCGCAGGCCTAAAGATCACGCGCGAACGAAGGGTGCCTAACCTTCGAAGCTCCAGAAGCCAGAGCCATCAACATAAACGCAAACACTACATGTACACAGTATGACAGCTGCGATAGAGCTGGACATACAAACCCAGATCACTTGTTCAGTTGTACACATCTGGGTATTTCCCACAATAGGGGTACCCCCGTTTATACCCAAAATAGAAAAGAACCCCTTAAAGGGACCCCCAAAGAGGAAACCCCTATTTTCAGAAACCCCCATAATGTACACGAAACCCTAAGCCCTAAACCCGACCAAGCCCGAGAAGAGGCAGGTGGCAGGACGGCATCCGGCTGGAGCTCCTCCAATGAGCCTTGCGGAGCGAGGGCAAGGGATCCATCCCGACCATTAGATTAGGGTTCAGGGTTCAGGGTTTAGGGCTTAGGGTTTAAGGTTCAGAGTTCAGAGTTCAGAGTTCAGGGTTCAGGGTTCAGGGTTCAGGGTTCAGGGTTCAGGGTTTAGGGTTTAGGGTTTAGGGTTTAGGGTTTAGGGTTTAGGGTTTAGGGTTTAGGGCCTTGTACCCTGCAGACTCTGCAAGATGCAGTGCCAAGCGGAGCTTAGCTGGGCGAGGGGCGCACATTGCATCCCAAGGAAACCTCCCTACGAGAAAACAAAGGACACATGTCGATCCCCTTTTGTGCTCCCCAGTCTCTCCATGTGGGTGTTTTTCGAAACCTTATTGGGGTCCTTATTGGAAGGGAATCCCATTACTTGAAGATCTATATTGGGGTCCCATATTTTCGTAAATCACCATGTCTTCACAGATGGCAAGTCTCATTTTCCTGTCTGCAGCGGGCACCCGGCCTTCGTCTCCATCGGCAGGGTGCATGTAGCTGGCTGCGTCGTCCACAACAAAGGCCACCGGCACCTCTTCTTAGTTTAGGTGCAGACCTATCGGGAATCTAAGAAGCTATGCCCCGCAGCCGCAGGGCCCAACCATTCAGAGGAATCCTGGCTAAGGTACCCCCAAAGAAAGCGGCTTCGACTTCCTGAGGCGCGCCCATCTGCGATTTGGCTCCTAAGGCTCTGCACTTGATTGATCCCACGCGTCCGGCCTGCACGCTGCCGACGTCGAGCATGGCAGCCTGCCCCGAACGCCAACGACCCATGTGGCCGGGGTAGGAATTGAAGCCGCTTGGCTTGCACACAAGCCCCTGAAGCACACTAAACAACACGGAGAATCCGAAACAGCAGACCCTCCAAATCAAGCTTGCTCCAGCACTGGATCCGCACCGCATCGGCAAGCGGGCATGTGCTGGGCGCGAGCCCATACCTGCGAGGATGCGAGGATTGCTGTAGGGGGCGAGGGTGAGGAAGCCCGGGACCAGAACAGGGATGCACAGATGGGACCAGCCTGTGTAGGGCTCGGTCCAAGCGTTGAGCGGCGGCCGCGGCAGTGTCTTCATGCTCCTCTGGCTACGAATGGGGAGCGTGGAAGGGCGCGGATGCATTCGCTGCTTTCTTGGCAGGGTGCTACACTGTCTGCTTCAGAATCTATTCTACTCATAATTTCACAGCGTGCACGAACGGAGGAATCCTTTTTCGGGACTTCAAAGCAGGTGCTTCGTGAGGACAGTTGGAACGACCAGTAGCCACAGCCAACTGAGACTCCCGATCTGGAAGCCTCAGCCAAGCACTGAATCCTGAGGCAAGGCATTGCAAACTGCTCCTGCTCTGGTTCAGGTAGTCGCGCGCCCGCACTGGGCAGTAGGAGCGAGGACAGTCCGGCACGCCTGAAAGATCAGATAGGTCCGATAGGTCAACCTACTTCTTCCATGCGATCGTTGCAGGCGCTTGGGCAACCTACACAGTAGTGGGCACCGAGTCTTTGTGGCACCTAGCGCAGACTAGACAGCCACCGCAGAAACTTGCCAGGTTTCGTCTGGGCTACGTTGACAGTCGCCATCGCTGAGGCGGTTCTGAGCGATGGCATGTCGAGCTCACACAGGTTCCCTGACCAGCTTCATCCCCTGAAAACGGCTCACTTCTCCCAAAGTAGCCCCCCCCCGGTTCCCAAAGGCCTTGGAGGCTGCAGTCGACCTTCAGTTGGTGGTGTGGACAATGGAGGCGGCGCCGCCTAATTGCAGGGTTCAAGAATTGGGGTGTGAGGGCTTTTCAGGGGCTTTTGAGGCAGTCAGGTGTGTTGCTGCCACAGACACTGAGGTTGGCAAATTCTGTCGCTTTCACAGATCTGCAGTAGGTGCCACGGTTTCAAGGTTCCTGCGGATGCCGTCGAAATCGAAGCAACTGAGTAGCGGAGTAGCTGCTCATGTCTTGAGTTTAAGGGCTGCCGGCTTGAACGACCAAAATTTCGAGGAGCAACTCACGTCCCCCTCTATCAGAGTTAGCTTCAGATGGGAACTTCAGTTTTCATGCTCAATGATCCTGCCTCCACCAGCTGCTTGAGAATGCCTGAAGCTTCTTGGCTGTCAGGCACGTACACAAGAAGCACATACCATCATGAGCGCTCCTTACCGCAGCTGCGCGACACGATGGTGCACAACAACGAGCCTGCGGAATCGCCTACTTCGCCAGTGACACAGGCACTGCTGTTTTTGAGCTGCCCGCAAAAATGAGCCACCAACCTTGCCCCACAAGCATACTCGCCCTGCCTTGACCTTCAGCAGTGCCACCACGAACACACATAGCCAACAGCATCTGAATGTCGGCACTCGGGTCAGGCCAGAAACGCCAAACTTCTAAGCACAAAGTTTCGGTGTCAAGGTTCAACCTTAGGATTGAAAATTAAAGTCTTCAAAAAAGGGCATATAAAGAGAGACCATGGTCAATGCGAGGAAGCTTTGCAGGCCAGGGGGCGGCTCAGCTTCGGCCGCAACCTGGCGAGGCGCGAGGCCAGGCGCTTCGTCGCCTGCGCCAGCGCCTCAAGGGTTCAGGGCTGCAGGGCTGCAAGGTTCAGGGCGACTTCAGGGTTTCAAATTTTCAGGGCTTCAGAAGGACAAGGGTTTAGGGTTCAGGGCTTCGGGGTGAAGAGCTTCGGAGCTGCTTCTTCTGCCCTGAACTACCTCAGGAACACCCGACCTCATCGCGCCGGTCGTGCAGTCGAACCACAGTGCTGTTCTGCAGCTGTCTCGACACCTGGGGTCTAGGGTTTAGGGTTAGAGGATTTACGGTTTGGGGTTTAGGGTTTTGGGGTTTAGGGTTTAGGGCTTTAGGGTTTAGGGTTTAGGGTTTAGGGTTTAGGGTGACTTCTGGCCATGCGATTGTATAAGGGTGCACAAATACGCTCAGGCTTCAGCGTCTGCCTCAAAGAAGCCACACGCAGTGCTCGATGCATTTGCACAACTCAATCCTTGCGATCCTCTGCTCTCGTGGGTCCCGTCATGGGCAGCTCCGCAGCTCCGAAATCCCCGTAGCCACAACACCCTCAGGTGCCCCACTCTGCTGGCACACGATGCAGAAGGCCTCCACCCATGACCGGCCGTGGATCTCCTCCACGCCTGCAAGGCCTCAGCTCATGGATCACGCGATCCCGCGGAGATTTTTTCACGGGGTCGCTCAGCGACATGCTGGAGAGGAGAGACCACGTCTGCTCGGGGCAACACGGCCCTGAAGCATGTCTGCCTCCAAAGACACATCCCAAGATATCTACAAGCAGGATTTCCATGGCTAAGCCATAGAGGAAATGAACAATGATGTCAAGCGCGTGTCAAAGCCTTTTAAACCCTGAACCCGAAACACGCCTGAAAACGCCACACCCACACACACACACACACACACAGACGCAAAGCAAAAAGGGGGACATGTGGCTTTGCGACTCTGCCCGGCGAAGGTCCGGAGCAACCAGGGCCGCCGCGCCCTGACCTTAATGAGCTTTCTTTAGGTCCCTCGACAGCGAGGGCTGAGGGCTTAGGATTTCGACTGGGTTTGGGGGTGGGAGCCTGAAGCCTTGCAAAGATTGTCTGAAAGTTCAGCCTTCACGGTTCAGCGCCGGGGTGATTCTGCATCGTCGTTTCCAGAAACAATTGTCAGGGAACTTGCGAGGTAGGACTTTGATTCTTAGGACTAGAAAATACCCAGCTGATGCTGATCATGCTCACTTCCCGCCTCCTCACATGTGCACAATACCCAGCTGATGCTCATGACACTCACCTCCCTCCTCGTGCAGGCCTCATGCTGTGCACCTAGTCACATTGCATCCGTACAGTAGCCAATACCGGAAAACCCAAGCCCAGAACTCCCAGACATCCTGACCAGTCAAAAGAAACAGGCATGAGAGTGTGAGAGGGACGAGCCCATGCTTGGGGAAGCGCTGGAGCAAAGACCATGCTGCGGTTCGCTTTAGGGTGTGTGGGGGGTTAAAGCGGCTTGACGTTACAAACCGGGTCATGGTGTCTACGTACAAGTTCTGCGCTCTGGTTTTCCGGCTTATGCTGCTGCACGAAAGCGAGTTCCTCCAAACCCTGCAAGAACTTAAGGAACTTCCTAAGGAATCACATGCACCTGCCCAAAGGCATCCTGTCGTACTGTATCAGATGCTGCGTATGAGCACACGCAAAGCCCTCCCCAACCATGCATGTGGCGGGCCTTACTTCTCTCTTGGGCACCACACATGTTGCAAGCAGCGCCAAATCCTCGTCTGCGTCGTCCTGCTCGTTAACTGGCTGCGCGGTGAGGTGCAGGACTCTGATCTTCAGGTTCTTTCGAGGCTACCTGCAAGCCCTTCACGGCCTCCTTCTGGTTGGATGCCCGGAGGACGTGGCTGGCCACTGGCTTTCGCAACGACCTGCAGCGCCCTCAACCCCTAAACCCTAAACCCTAAACCCCTAAACCCCTAAACCCCTAAACCCCTAAACCCCTAAACCCTTAAACCCTAAACCCCTAAACCTAAACTCCAAGTTCCGACACGTTCTGCTGCCCTGGCACCGGTCCACGCGCCCTCCACAGAGCCACGATGCCAGGGCGAGACGGCAGGCCACACCTCAGTGTCTTCTTTATGGCCTCAGGTTTAGGGTTTAGGGTTTCGGGTTTAGGGTTTAGGGTTTAGGGTTTAGGGTTTAGGGTTTAGGGTTTAGGGTTTAGGGTTTAGGGGTTTAGCGTTTGGGGACCTCAGCCTTTTGTAGGTTCTCGCAGGTGCTCCTGCCTCTTAATGTAGCTACACATCTAGGCCGTCGATCACAAATCATCCATCGAAACATCTCGAATCGGGTAGCTGACGGCATGCAAAGGTGCTACAGGCCCTCCTTGATCTTATCCACACAAGCTGGTCACTTCTCTGAATTGTGGTTTCGGGGTCCTGAATACAAGGTGGCCCCCTTTTTTTGGGTACCCAAAAAGGGACCCGAACTTAGAGAACTGTCCTCATAGCCCTAGGCACTCCAAGTCTAAGAAAGCTGCTGTCAGTAGCTTGCCACAGCAGTTCGTCGAAGCGCGCTTCGATCGCCTCTTGTCAATGCAAGGATCTGAAGGCCGCGCCACGAAGCATCAGATGCAGGGGCTTCAGCCCTTTTTGGGTTTCGGGTGTTCTGCGGGCTTCTGAACACCAAAGCAGATGCTGCACGCCTGCGAAGAGCCCTGGGTCTTGAGTCTAGTCTAGTCCGCGAGATACCCGAAGCAGCCCTAAGCAACAACCCCAAAAATCCTCAGCTTGAGTTTGGGGCTTAGGGATTTGGGATTACATTGCTTCACTTGCACACGTGCCAGCGACACAATGTGGTAATCGCACACACAGGCCTTCCTACATGCAATCGCAGCAAAATGGGGGGTTTCCTAATTAGGGGCCACCTTATTGGGTCCTCGCACATGCACTCTCCAAAAGGGTGCGAAGTAACGTGGCCTGGCATACCAGCCTGTGTGTAATCGCTTGCACGGTGTATGGCTCCAGGGATCGACAGCGTTTCTTTCGAGCGCGTGAAGCTGTCGGTGCGCATGCGTGCAGCTGCCTGAAACAAAGTTTTTGCGGCTTCCTGCTTGCTGTGTCACTGTGTAAACCCTTGTAGTTCGTAAGTCTCAGAGTACAAAGAATAACAGTGGCGACGACCCCGAACGAATTTCTCCAACGTGATGGGAGACAAAGGGAGACAAGGGGAGACACAGACCACCGGATCCAACATGCAGGCCTATCTCGACTAGTCGGAAATCCTTGCTAGTAGAAGGCATGGAAAACCCCAAGAGTCTACTGCTTGGCGAAAACACAACCCTAAACCTTAAGCAAAACCCCCGAAGCCTGCAAGCCCCGGAAAGTGCAAGTGCTGGAGTGTTGTGTCCGGGTGGCTCGCAACACCGTCCGGGCGGTGACGCCCGCCACGGCATGCGCCGCCAGGAGAGCCGATGCCACGCTTGGGGAAAGCTCGGGCGCCTGAGGGGGTAGGGTTTTCGGGTTTAGGATTTAGGGTTTGGGATTTTAGGTTTTTGGTTTCGGGTTTGGGAGACTTACTGGTTCTTGGTCGGGAATCTAGGAATATCTGGGAATTGGGTTTCCCATGTCGTCCCTACACCTGAGAACTGGTAAGGAGGGTGCGGCTGTGGTGCTCTGCTTCGGGGTCAAAGATGAGGGCAGAGGATTCGACGGACGCAAGACGACGCTTGCAGCCAAGCAAAACAAACACACCTCGAAGCAACTCACAGTAGTGCCTACTGCCTACTTATCGACACTGTCGGCTTGCATGTTGCCTTGCTCAGGACAGAGGACAAGATCTAGACTCACCGAGAGCATCTCTCAAACAAGTTAACAGTCCCCACACACATCCCTTCGATGCCCCGCAAGAATGCCTCAAGGATAACTTGCTGTACTTGTGTGTAGAATTGCACGACAGCAGCTCAACAGCTCCCCAGTGCCAGCATCCGAGAAAAGAAGAGCTGCGACATCCACTACTTGGAGTCGCAGTTCAACACGATATGCATGGCACAATCGGAACGAATTCTCTCCAACCCAGGTTGTCTGCAGCAAGACCTGCATAGACCCACGTAGGCAAAGAGGGGCTTCGCTATTCTGCGTAGCTTTTCTTGCTTCGAAAAAAGTGGAGCGAGAAGGCGGGAGTGGTGACCGGCCGAGAAGTTCACCCCATGCTCATGCTCTCGGGATCACAACCACGAACGGCCAGATCTCCAGCCTCGCAGTGGTGTGCCAGTCGCATCGCTGCAACGGCTTCAGGGGGTAGTGCTGCGGCTGCGAAGGCCACAGCACAGTTTGCCTCTTCGGCAGCAGGGTGGGCTAGTGATGTCTGCCCGTGTTGAGAGGCGCCTGTTACAACATGAGGTTGTGGGCCATTTTGGGGGGTTTACGAAAAATAGGGGACCCCTAATAATATAAGGACCCCAATGAGGTACCCCGAATCTTCGGAAACCCCCATCTCGGGGTTGTCATGTGCAGCATACTCAGCGGGGGGCTGCATCCCCAGGCAGCAGCTGGGCCGTGCGCTCTGCGGCGGCACCGGCCAGCCAGGACCAGAAGTCCTCCTGTGCCTTTTGGGAAGTCTGCGTTTGGGGGCGTATAGGGTCCCTTTTTGATGTTTTTCTATAATAGGGAAGCCTACTTAGGGGTTTTTACCTTTTGCAAGCTCTACTGCAGTGGGAGATCCTGCTCAATCCATAAGCTACGGGAAGAAGAGAACAGACGCTGCTGGCCATTGGCGAGCTGCGCGAAGAAGAGGTACAGTGCAAAGTCGAGGGCAAATGCAACTAGACGAAGAAGAAGTGTTCCGAGATACTTGAAAGTTCTTACAATGTCTCAGCTTCAGCCTCAGTCTCCACAAACCCTCCCCATGGGCACCTGGCCCGCGTCGCTGTGGCCTTTGGCACGGGGCCGTGGCCAGAGCTCCGCGAAGGCCACGGCCAGCATCCCCAGCCTCGGTCACAGAGGGATTTTGGGGTTCAGGGTTTAGGGTTTAGGGTTTAGGGTTTAGGGTTTAGGGTTTAAGGTTTAGCATCTAAGGTTCAGGGCTTAGGGCTTAGGGCTTAGGGTTTAGGTGGTACCCAAAAAGCCGGAACCATGCGATCTGAGCGGGCGAGGGGACCCTCCCTGGACCTCCCAAACATCCCGAAGCTCCTCCCTTCCCACAAAAAACTGCATGGGAGACAACAAGGGCACCCTAACTCAGTGAGGGGACGTCTCGCTCACAAGCCTTGCACAACCGAAGCACTCTTTGCAGTCCCTTCGAAGTCTTCCCATGCCTCCGACTAGAAACTACCTAGGCCAAACACAGGGTGCTCATAGGGGTTTCCGAAAGTAAGGGCACCATATTGGGGTCCTTGTCATGAGGGAACCCTACTATTTGGGGGACTGTATTCGGGGTCCCTCATACTCGTAAACCCACACATGAGAGCACCGAAGATTGGGGAACCTTGACGAGTGGCTGTAGCTCCTCCGCCGGAAGCTCGGCCACGGCTGCCGCCAGCGCAGCGGGCAGCGTGGGGTGGCGCCGTTGCTGGCCTGAATAGTTTTGTTCGTCACGGTGTTTGGTGAGTCGTTGCGCACCCTCGCGCTTTGTCTTTGTCGGATGGATCCTTGCTAGGGGCCAGTTGTGGGGGATCCAAAGTTGAGCCCAAGCGTCAGCTCTTACAAGTCCTGACAACAACCCTTGATGCTGACGCGAAGCCTGCCCGGGCCACGGCGTGACACAGCAGCACCGTGCTGTGTGCATTGGGTGGGTCTGCAAGCAGCCTCGTCTCGGCAAGAAACTCTTGCGTACCACGGCGAAACCAGGCAACGATGCACGCAAGCCGACAGCCGAAGAGATGCTCTCAAAAGTCTTCCCGCTTCACCGGTCTGCGAGAACGATCAAGACGCCGGGCCTGGGCAACTCCTCCGCGACAGCGTCGAAGACGACGTCTGTGACGGGCACCGCTGCTCGGCTCGACTCAGGTGCCTGTGGGGGGAGGGCCAAACAGCGGGAAGGCAACAAGTACTGCGGACTTCCAAAGATGGATTGGGGGACTTGGGCCAGTTTGTGATGTTAGGTTTCCGGCCCGTTGCAACTGTTTCTGATGACTGGAGTCCAATACAGTCCGAAGAACCACAGCCGTGCCCGCCGGCCATCCGAAATCGGCAGATCGAAACCTCAGAAAACGCTGAACCTGACCAGTCCTGACAGAACACCGAAAAACTGAGTTCAGGCACCTTCTTCCCCACAACCGCCTGCGAGCCACCGACTCCCCAAACCCCCCCCTCCCACGCCAGAACAGAACCCAAAAGCCCTAAAACATCCTAAAACCCGAAGCCCGAAAAACCGACAAGAACATCACCTCGAGTCCCCACTTTGTGCCTGATCCCCAACTACAAGGATTTCCCTTCCGGTAGTTTCCCGGTCTGCCTTCCCGCCAACATTTCGGCACGGTTGCCTGCCTTATCATAGCCGCCCTACCCTGCCTGTTGAGGCAACGTTCCCGCACAGTGTGCCCGCCTGAGCCTCCTTGACCTGCTTATTCATTCTTCCGGTACAATCGCCCGTCTGAGCCTCCTTTAAGGCAACTTTTTTAGGCACATTGCCCGCCTGAGGCTCATTTGCCCACCCGCGGCTTCCTGGGAATGTTGTACTACCCAGCCGTACTGCCTGCTGTCCCGAACATGTCGCGTGACATGACGCGTGCCACGTTGTCCTGCAAATCTAACAGCTCCGCTTTTGCCGAGTTATTGGAAAACCAAAACACACGACGCCTGGGCCTGCGCCAGGGCTTCCTGGCCCATCGCAGGGCCCGTGAAGCCGAACTTGGCGAAGGCGTGGGCCAAGTTGGCCGCAGCCTTTTCTGGGGTTTGGGCTCTAGGACTTTAACATGCTCTTGCTGTGGGGGGTGGGACGAGGGTGGGGTGGGTGCTGTAGAGCTTGGAAGTGCTTGATTTCAGGCTTTTGGGACTTGGCCGAGCAGGGCCTGAAAGGTGCAGGTGCGCGCGCAGCTGCGCAGTCTCCAGGCCAGAACCTGTTCCACAGGGAGCGGAGGGCTCAGGACTGGTTCTGGGCTTCAGGAAGTACAGTGGAGTTGGCCACGGGAAAGAAAGCCTGGTGCGCTATTTTCCCTTCAGTTGCCTTCTCAACTCCAACACTCCAACACAGTTGCCACTCCCAAACATGGGGGTTTCCGAAAATAGGGGTACCCTTTTTGGGGTTTCCGTTAGAAGGATTATATAGTATTCTGGGGTATATAGGTGGGTACCCCTCTTTTCGGAAACCCCCACATCCCCTCGAGAATCCAAGGCCTGGAAAAGCGGCTCGTCGGCGATCCACAGCTTTGCATGGGCTGCCGCGATGACGCTCATGGCCTTAAGGGGGTTTAGGGTTTTAGGGTTTTAGGGTTTTAGGGCTTAGGGTTTAGGGTTTAGGGTTTAGGGTTTAGGGTTTAGGGTTTAGGGTTTAGGGTTTAGGGTTTAGGGTTTAGGATTTAGGGTTTAGGGTTTAGGGGGTTTAGGGTTTAGGGTTTAGGGTTTAGGGTTTAGGGTTTATTTAGGGTTTAGGGTTTAGGGTTTAGGGTTTAGGGTTTGGGCCGGGGTTGCAGTAGGGCTCTTCAGGGAGGGGGGTTCACAGGGGGGTGTTTAACCCAAGGTTCCGCAATACTCCCTTCTACTCCCTAAGGCTACCTAAGGCTCCCTAAGCTTCCCTCAGGTTCCCTAGGCAGCTGCAGCTTGCGGCGATGGGGGTTTACGATATTCGGAAGTACCTTATTGGGGGTCCCAAATATACAGGGGATCCGACTATTTGGGGGGTGCATGTTAAGGGTCCATTATTTTCGTAGCCCCCCCAAATGCTTCGCCACGCAGGTTCGGAGGTCGGGTCGCCATGTTGGGGGTTGAGGGGTCCGGGATCCTGACATCCATACCTTTGAGCACGCGCACGAAGCCTCACGAAACTCTTTGCAAACCCATCAAACACTTCAGCCCCACAGACCCCTATAATCATGTGCTAAGGCCCTGTGTAGACCCTGTAAACCCTAAACCCTAACCCCGAAACCCTAAACCCTGACCCCAAAGCCCCGTAACCCGAAGCCCTAAACCCAACCAGAAACCTGGGTGGCCTGGCAGTCCATGTGTTTTGCTTGCTCCTTGCAGCGCTGGGCCAGGGCATCCTCGGCGGAGGGGGTCTAGGGTTCAGGGGGGTTTTGGGTTTCCAGTTTAGGGGTTAGGGTTTATGGGCTAGGGTTTAGGGGTGAGGGTTTAGGGTGACTTGAGGATAGAGGGACATGCATCTAGCACCTTCTCATCGAAAGGGGTGCAAAGCGGCGTGCACCATGGACAACATGCACTCTTCAGGTCTCTTAGCTACGTTGTACGCGCACTCAGAGAGTCGATTGCGGCTCAGCCACAAACACGGCGGTGCTCCGCAGCTGGGCCTGTGCCCCAGCATGCAACACGACAGCTTGCGACATAGCTCGGCGCTTCCAAAGGTGTCGTAAGCGTGGCACCTTCGGGCACCTTAGGGCACCTTACAAGCCGTTTCAGGTCCTACAGGCACCTGTTCGGGGATTGACTGCTCCTGCCACTGGTGCATTTTATAGGTTATACACGATATGTAAATATACGATTGGAGGAAAATTTAGGTGGCATATATTACATGTTATTTGATGTAGGCCAGGACACCTTGGCATAGGCGTTGAGGACCAAAGACAGGTCCTACCGCGACGGAGAACGGCACAAGCCTCTACGAAGATTTCCCCATGGCTCTGAGAGCTGCGTTGGTTGAAAAGGCCGATAAAACAATCATTTCGCCTGGAAACCCCTTGCTCGCGGTCCTAGAGAAAAGTCACGCCCTGGTCCTGGCCTTCACGCGGAAACGCGACCCATGGGCCACCGCGTATGCAGGAAGCAGTTGCCCGAAAAGCGTCCTTACAGCTCAGACAGAAGTTGACCTCGGCCCCGTGGGAGTGGGGCACCTACCACCTCTAAGCATCAAGCTGGGAATGGGAATCCGAGCAGAGCTCCGCTCCACCACCATGAGGCGGACGTAGGAGTTCGCAATCAAGGAAGCCTGGAAGGTGTTGCACTTCCTTGCAGGGCGGGTAGCAAGCTTCCGAGTTGGTTTTATGCGCAGCTGGAGAGCTCCTGGGCACTTCGTTCCTCTTTTGATGCACGCGAAAAGCTCCCTCCACCTCCCTGTCAGACGGGATGCGAGAACTTCACGCGGAGTTCGCGGGAGAGCTTCCTGGGCAGAGGAACTCGCACTGACTGGAGTTTTGAAAGCTCTGGGAGCGACCGGGAAAGCTCTGCTTTCATACATGCAATACACCGCAACATACCATGTCTCGCACTTCATGTGTCTTGGCTCATGAAGAATATGAGGGAAGAATGTTTCAATTCCCCTCCCAAGTCTGCAAACTTTCTAGGGTTTCGGGTTTTTACTCATAAAGACAACCCCGAACCCTGAACCCTAAACCCTAAACCCTAAACCCTAAACCCACTTTACTTCAAGAAGAGCTCCCTGAGCCGAGCTTCGAGATGCATTCTTCGTCGCGGAGGAGCATCCTCGACACCCGATCCGAAGCAAACGGTACACTTGGCAAGACCCTGAGTGCATACCTAGGGTTTGGGGTTTGGGGTTTAGGGTTTAGGGTTTAGGCTTTAGGCTTTAGGGTTTAGGGTTTAGGGTTGAGGGTTTAGGGTTTGCGGACGTTGACGCCAACTTCTGCGAGAGTGGGCTGCCGCAGAGGCCCACAGAGGGGCATTTCGGGATGCTGCTGCGAGGACGCGAGCGCTGTGGATTCTAGAGTAGCGTCATAGGATTGAGTCCCCAGATCTGCCCAATCCCCTTAATTCATGAATCCTAATGATCCCTAATGTATACTAAGGATCACGATTATGATTCGGGTACATTCATGTACATTCCTTAATTAAGGGGTTTTGGAAGATCTGGGTCTCAAAAAGGGACTTTAAGAGTTGGGGGGCTCCATGGAAGAAGGCTCAACGGAGCTCCTGGCCATGGCATTGGCCACGGTGGCCATGTGGCGGGTGTTGCCTCAGCGCCCAGGGTCCAACTTTGGGGTTTAATAAAGAGTTTAGGGTTTAGGGTTTAGGGTTTAGGGTTTAGGGTTTAGGGTTTAGGGTTTAGGGTTTAGGGTTTAGGGTTTAGGGTTTAGGGTTTAGGGTTTAGGGTTTAGGGTTTGTCTAGCGAAACCTTGCAACCCCTGATTTGTAAGCAAGGGCTTTCTGGAAGGAAGCAGTAGCTGGAGCTGTGTCCGAGGACCAGGGTTGTAGAATGTGCTAGACGTTTGGTGATTGAGCTTCGAGTGTTCAAAACTGGCATGGCTGCGTTCACTTCGGGTTCAGACGGCCCCCGCCCAGCCCATTTAGACCCAAAAATGCCCTGACATGACTGCCAGTTTGGGCCAATCACTTTGCGGGAGGAGCTTGGCCGCACGGTCCACGTAGAGTTGGGCCACCTCTGCGACAAGCAGCGCAGGTGTTATATCGACTTTGAGAAGAGCGTCCCCGAGAAGGGACCCTAGATTGAAACAGGCCCCCACATCCGCCATCTTTCACCCAACGCAACACAGCATAACACGGGATGGCCTCCACTGCAGTGTCATCTAAGAGGGGTGACCTTGCATGTTGGCATGCCGTCCACAGACGATTTCGGATGGATGATAGCTGGCGCCGTGAGAGAGAGCACAGAAAAGGGAGGTCAACCCTGACTGTTCGTAAGGGCAGTGGTTTAGCTCTGAGCACCTCAGAGTGATGCAGGATCAGATGCTTGTATCTGAAGCCACCATGTCAACACCCCCGAATGCACAGGGCAGAGGACTTCTCCAGGGCATGCGCGCCTGGAGCAAGCATTGAGGACGCGAGCAGCGCCCTCGGCATCGGCATGGCGCACCTGATGCGATCCCGGCATGAAGCTAGAGAGACCCCGTCCTGAACCGAATGCCATGAGCGAATGTGTCGCTGTGCAGTTCGAAGCTGGAGCAGCTTTACACCCTTGACGCCAGATCGTGAAGGCTTTTCGTGACGCTATGGGTCTGACAAGTGCTGCAAAGCGAGAAAGAATGCCTGCAAGTCGCTACGCTCTTTGCTCGCTCGAGGTGTGCGCGCCAGGCGCCGAGATTCCTTGGAGCAGCCCACAGGGCTCCAAACTCTGACATAAACAGAGAGGTTATTTTTGTATATACATATATAACTACTATCATTAGAAGAAGAAGCAGAAGCAGAAGCAGAAGCAGAAGAAGAAGAAGAAGAAGAAGATATATATATATATATGTGTGTATATATATATGTATAAGATTACACACACGCACACACAATGCTCAAAGTGTCCTGGTTAAAAAAAGACCCAGACTCGAAGCTGCCAGTATGATACGATTCTCCTGCATGCGGACTGATGGAACTATGGGAGAAGATACAGAAGGAGCTGTGCCTGCACGGGAACTCCAGCTCTCGACTGCAACCCGAAACCCGAAACCCGAAACCCTAAACCCTAAACCCGAAACCCTAAACCCTAAATCCTAAACCCTAATTACACCACCCGAAACCCTAAACCCTAAACCCGAAACCCTAAACCCTAAACCCGAAACCCTAAACCCAAAACCCGAAACCCTAAACCCGAAACCCTAAACCCTAAACCCTATGTGATTGTGACCCAGTCTCGGGCTGCGCCTGCGAGCCAGCGCCTTGCGCGGGTGCTGCCAGCTGAGCACACTTGCTTAACATCTCACGGAAGCCACGAAACTTCCTAAAACAACATGAAGGCTGAACCGTTTTTTCCACATGAACCCACACGAACCCAACATGAACCCAACATGAACCCTTTTGGGCATTTCTAAAAAAGTATAGGCACCCCCTTTTGTGCCCCAAATAGAACAGAATCCCCTTATTGGGGCCGCCAAAGAGACAACCCACATGAGGGTTTACAAAAAAGAGCGACCGCTCAATATAAACCCCCAAATAGTAGGATTCCCTTACAATAAGGACCCCAATAAGGTACCCCCTAAGTTGGAAAAACCCCCATGCCATGAACCCTAAACCCTACCCTCAAAAACCCTAAACCCTAAACCCTAAGCCCTAAACCCTAAACCCTGAACCCTAAACCCTAAACCCTCAAAAACCCTAAACCTTCTGATCGCCCTCGCGGCCTGCAGACTGCGGGCGGCCAGCGCCGGGTCCCCCACGGCGACACGGTCGCCACAGCGTCGAAGCTGGGCCTGGGATAAGTGTAGGGTTTAGGGTTTAAGGGTTTAAGGGTTTAAGGGTTTAAGGGTTTAAGGGTTAAGGGTTGGGGGTTGGGGGGTTGGGGGGTTGGGGGGTTGGGGGTTGGGGGTTGGGGGTTGGGGTTGGGGGGTTGGGGGGTTGGGGGGTTGGGGGTTGGTTCAGTGACAGCTTGAAGGCACAGGAATCGCCTCTGCCAAAGACAGGAAGACGGCTGCGACCCACGGCATCGTCAATGCTACTACTTCGGCTGGAAAGATCTGCCTGCCGTTGGACAGGCATGCAAAGGCTGGAATTGTCTGCAAGCTGCCACCGACACTGGCCGGCGCGCAGCTGGTGCCCCGAGCATTGGGCCAAGTGGAGGCCTGGGCGATATCATAACTCGAGATGCCAGGGTTTTTTAGGGTTCCCTACCAAAGGCAATGTCCAGAAGCAGCTTTGAAGCGCGTAGCTGAGGTGTGAGGTCTCCCTTGCCCGAATGCCACGTACCTACTGTACAAATGTAATTTAAGGATGTTTGGAAGTTCTAGCGTGCACAAAGTTGCGAAACCAATGAACAGTGGAAATAGATGCGAAGCTCAAATGTGCGAATCGGCGATAGGGTTTTGGGAGTTCTCATGACCCACGCCTGGCAGCACAAAGCGCAGGACATCGCAGGTGCAGCAGCACGTGTTTGCAGGCTATCGAAGAACCACTACGAGTAGTCACAGCTGGGCACTCGCGTTTCGTTGAGCTGAGTATTGGTTGTGGGTGTTTCGTCTGGTCGTGCTGAGATCACGTCCTGTGGACCAAAGCGGCTCGTGGGGGCTGATGATAGGGGCAACTCGGGAGGTTTGACTTCAGGTCAGGTTGTTTCACCTCATGCTTGCGTGGCCCTTGCGATGGACGTTACCCACAGCGAAAAGCACATCATGAATCGATGTAGTAGCCCAGTCCCTGGTCTCCAAGCTTGAAGACGTAGCCTTCCAAGGAGCCATCGAAGCGCTTTGATGGCAGAAAGCCCGAGTTTCGGACCAGGATCAGCGGAAGCTTCCCGCCGCTCACACCACAGTCTGCGATGGTCTTGTGATCCTCCAGCTTGTTGAAGGCACCTGGAACAACCAGCTGCGCCTGCTGGTGTGGGATGCCCTGCTGTCTCTCCAGCTCCAGCTTAACATCTCTGATGACACAGGTGCCGAGAAGGGAGAGGCTAGCGAGGGCGTCGCCGCTCATTTGAGTGACCTCCACCTCAATCAAAGAATATTTCTTCTCGGCCACATTATCCTTCTTGCAGTGCTTCTCTGCTTTTCTCTTCGTGCCTTTCTTCTGGCTGGTGGCCTCTTGCTGCCTCATCTCTTCCGCATACTTGGCCTTGGCCTGCTCAAACTTCTCCCGGTACAGGGCCTTCGTTTCTTGACTGAGGGCCTTCCAGCGGGATCCGGCAAGCTTGGATACCTCAGTTACCGGCCTCCCCGGGCCCACTTCCCTCCGTAGCTCCGCCCGATTCTCTGCAAGCCAGATACCGTAGGCTCCGCCGAAAGGCTTTTTGGGCCGCTCATCTGCCATGACTAGGAAGAGCGGCTGGCAAGAGTCGTTGAAGGCTATGCAAGTAGGCACCCAAAAAACTACGCAGCTAAGCGGGAATCTGTGTGAGCACCAGACACACCTCCAGGTATCTTTTCGTCGAAGGCAATCCCTGGAAGGCTACAAAGCACCAAAAGCCAGCAAATCCTGAACGAAAACCGGACGATCTACGACATCACTGCTGCTCTGGTAGATGTTCGCTGCCATGTGGGGGTTTGCGAAAATAGGGGGGGGGAGGGGGGGAGGGATCCTACTGTTTGGGGGTCCATACTAGCGTAACCCCCCATGTGTCAAACTGATTTAAAGCCAGTTGTGACTCGTCCAGTTGCGCTGGCTTGTGCCTTACATGCAGGGCTATGGCTGTCCAGGCCTCGCGAAGTTTCGATTCGGCGTCTCCGTGGCGAGTCTTCATCTCCTGCACGCACGAGCACGATTTCGCTCCGGCTAGGTTGCGGGGCGTTCGCGGCTTCCTGGTCAACGTGCGCGTCCCAGCTACGCATTGCCGGAAGAAACTTGGGGCGAGGGGGGGGGGGGTGGGGAAAGTGCCTAAGGATGAGTACAGTTTTTTCTGCTTGAAGTCCTGCTCCATCACGCTCGTGCAGCTGTATAGAAGTTCCCGAAATTAGCATCATGCGAGTTTTTGTTTGTAAAGGATCGCTGCATGCCTTTCGCCTCATGCTGGCGAGGCAGCCTCATGTGATCAAAGCACAGGGCTACGGCAACATTCAATCCTGCTGCCGATTCCAATGTGGACACACGCATGTTTGGATGGCTTGCGGCGCTTTCATTTGTTCTCTGTGGCTGTCCTTCTGCACCTTCGATCCTGAACCCCATTTCAGCAACAAGATGGGGCCGCGAGCAGGCGAGCCTGATGTTTTGCCCGCTGCGTGGCCAGGGCCACCTGCACAAGATCCGAGAGAAACGGTGAAATAAGGGCTTCCACAACAGAGCACTCTCAACAAGACTATCTGCCACTTGAGAGCTCGTTTTTGGGCATCTGGAGTGTAGCTGGTTCGAGATGCTCAGGGCCTGGGCGCTTTTGAGCGCACTGTCGGTGCGCTCCAGCTGCGCGGTGATCTTCTCTAGCTGGCTCTCCTGAGTCAAGCCACTGCAGCGAAAGCCCTGTGATTCCCCCCCCCCTTCTGCACGAACCAGCAAACAGCACGTCCTCTGCGCCACGGGCTCGGCCACAGCATTCCAACATGCGCCACGCGCTGAAATCAGCAATGCAGCTGAGCATCCCTGACATCCAACTCATCTCGCCAAATGCACCTTGGGGGAGGGAGGGGGGCTGTTCCAATTTGAGAGCCCTCTCAAAGTGGACCCTAACATGGAACACCCACCACAAGGTCAAGAAAGAACGCTTGCCAACCATCGTGCCAGCGATCGACAGAGGAAGCCGCCACCCTTCAGGACCAGTTCGTGCTTGTCTAGCTCACAAAATGAAGCCTATCATCACCCAAGATGATACCCAAAGGCCCCAAAAACACCAACAAAAACACCTAAAGAAGTCCGAACTCCACAGGTTCTGCAGAAGCTTCTCGGGAGATGGCCGGTGGGACCTGGCCCAAGGGCGGCATTGGGGTGGGTTATTGAAGCAACTGGACTTTTGGGCATATAGCTGTGTTGAGACTTTAGGGTTCTGGGCTCCAGACCTTCAACCTCTTAGCCCTCCAAGTTCAAAAAAAAAAAAGATCTTCGCAGTCCTCCCCTGTCCTGTGCCAGTTCTGACATTTAGGAGAGGTATTAACAGGACTCCATCCTGCGAACTGACCTCCACACGTCGGGTACCGACCTCAACCCGAAGCCCCTTGTTCATGACTTTTTGCATGAGGCCGCCAGAGGCCCCATAGCAGCAAGACATGGCCGGCACGCTTCGGTGCTTGGACGAGCTCCTGGAAGGCGGGTGCGTTTAGTGCAGTGCTGCACCAAGGCAAGCTGCTCAGCCTTTCAGCTACAAGTTCAAGGCCATGGGGTGGGATTCTTTAGTGTTTAGGCTTTGCCAGAGCCCTCGGTTCTGGTGGTACCCTTTTTTGGTCTGCAGGCCCCTGTGCTTTGCCAGCAGTTTTGCTGCACCCGACTGTACAACGGCACGCCAACGGCACGCCAAGAGCCAAACTTGCCTCCGGTTGCAGCACTCCGCAACACCCATGATTTAGTTCGGTATTGTATCGGAACCATGCGGAAACAGAACGAGAACAAAACTCTTCCGGCCCTACTTGAGGCTGTCGGCACGACTGGCGTGCAACGATCAACACAGTCAAGTGCGCTCATACCACGGAGTGTTCGAAAAGGGCTTGAGAGCAAAAGCAGGCGCCCTCACGCTGCGCAAGTTGCTGGTCGGAGCTGCAACCGAAGGTGGCGCTGCATTGCATTAATTTTCAAGCTCCACACGCCCACTTCCGATTCAGCGCCGCCGGGCTCGCGGGGCCATGTCTACCACAAAGCTATGGAGGATGGCAAGGATGAGCCCTGTAAACCATGAAGTCCTGCGAACGCTGAAACCCCCGAATTGCTAAACCCCCTCAAGCGATATGCCAATAATCCAATGACCCGTGTCCCAGATTCACGGCAGACCCCCCTCGATCCCGAAGCAGTCGGCCACAGGGAGCCCTAAACCCTAAACACTAAACCCTAAATCTTAAGCAAAAAGCTTCAAAACAGCATATGGCAGCAGGGAGGCAGACGGGCACCCGAGTGGAAGGAGCCGAAGCAAAGCTCCCACAATACCGGCACACCACAGCCCAAAGCACAGAAGCCGAAAGACCTTCGGAAGCTGAGTCCTTGAACCCCTAAACCCTAAACCCTAAACCCTGAACCCTGAACCCTGAACCCTATAAGCCCTAAACCTAGACCCTGAGCCCTTAACCTAAAGCCCCTGGAGAGAAACTTCCGGGAAGTGGGGGGAGAAGTCGCCCTCACCGGGAGAGCCGCGGCCGCTTCGCTGGCGGCTCAGGGGCCTGAGGTGGTTCTGGGTTTAGGGTCCAGGGTTTAGGGTTCAGGGTTTAGGGTTTGGGGTTTAGGGTTTAGGGGTTAGGGTTTAGGGTTTAGGGTTCAGGGTTTATAGGGTTCAGGGTTTAGGGTTTAGGGGTTAGGGTTTAGGGTTTTGGTGTTTGGGGTTTGGGGTTTAGGGTTTAGGGTTTAGGGATTTGTGGAGGGCCTGGGCTGTTTCAGGGCTGTGGGGAACAGGCAGGACCTGACTCAAGGGTTTGACGTGAAGAACAGAACGGTCTCCCCCCAATTCGGAAGGGCTTAGGATCCTCCTTGAGCCCTGCGACCTGGAAGTGGCCCAGCTGCCTCATCGCAGCACGCTGCGCCGGCACTTCCTCCAGGCTTCCCCGCACAAGAAGTGGTCTCTAAGCCATGGTCCCTTTTCGGGTACCTGAACTTGCAGGGTCGTGTGTTGGAACAGGGGGCCCCTACATGGGCAACGACTGGTGGTGTTTAAGTTCCCACATGCTGAGCTTCGCAGGGTTGATAAGGCATAGGGTTTGTCAGCATCGGCCCCCGATCTAAGGCAGCGCCTCAAGGCGCCCTGCGAGTCACGTGTGGACAAAGCATCACGGGACATCACGTGGCGCTGTGTTGCCGGAGGCAGTCCTGCAGCGCGCACAGCGCAAATGCCGCCTGCCAATGGCCAACATGCTGTCACGTGGGCACAACGCACAGCGCACACGTCAATGCGGACCAGGTGATGGCCTGCAAACACCTGCAAACACCTGCAAAACACGTGCAAACACGTGCAACGACTTGTGCAAACTCAACTTCCCAGCGGCCTCGGCCAGGCGGCACTGGCGGGGGCGGCCACTCTCCAGAAGCGCCTGGAACTTAGCCTTGGTGGGGGGAACGGGTTTTTTGGGGGCAGGATGCTATGCGGAGGTGAGGGCATGTAGGGCATGTAGGGCATGTAGGGCACATAGGGCATGTGAGGGTTCAGGCTAAGGCATCCACAACTTTAGATTCGTTGCTGAGAGGTGTGAGCAGGTGTCAGCAAAGGGTTCAATGCCCCAGACCAACCCAGCAGCCCTGGCTACTGCTTGCTGCCGAGGGACGAAGGGGACGAACCTTAGCCAACGGCTGCCCAGCTGATCTGGAGTTTCACTGAGGCACAGGAGGCACAGTAGCTGCAAACCACCCCAGCTACCGTACTGTCAAGAAGAGCATCAGCGCTGCAATCAACCCCCAAAATACTCAGCTAAGGCGCTGGAAGTTGTCGAAGTGCCGGCTGGACAGTCCATCGTCGAATTCCTTCCCAGGATCTCATGATGACGCCTCAAGAAACCCCCCACTCCCTTGCTGTTCGTGCTCGTGCTGGGCTTTTGCGTCTCCCAATCCTTCATGACGTCCCATGGGCCGTCACCGACGCCAATCATGACCTCGGACAGGCTTTGCAGGGCTTGGGCACTGCTTGCCAAGGACATCTCCAAGATTCCGGCGATGGAGAGCGGACACTCGCTGGCGCTCACGAGTGCTTGACGCGAAGCTTCGCAGCACGCCTCATCGTCGACTGCCTGAAGGGTGACACTGTTAAGCCAAACTGTCCGTACTTTTGGAGGTCTCCGAACCAAGCCGAGGGGCGCCATCCGCCAGGATGAGTAGGATGTGCTGCTCATTGCCATTTTGGCGCACCACTTCGATCGCCTGGCACAAGACACCGTTTCCCGCCCCTGCTAAGGAGATCATGCCCACCGCTCTCTTATTTGGCACCGTGTGCTAGTATCACAGCACACCCTCCAAGCCCAACGGTGGTTGCCATGAAGCCAACAAAGTACCAACAGCGGCATCCAGAACGAACAAAGTCATGTCTCTTCTCCCGCAAACCGAGACAGTCTCGCGTCATCACGGTGAAACAAGTAGGGAGGAGCAGAGCCCGCCACGATGCCACGGTTGTGTGTGGCTCGTGACGCCTATGTCATCGCACTAAGGCTTCAAGCCCTAGAGGCGGGATCCCTTCTCCACGGACCACTCACCACGGAACGCCCCATGTAGTGCCCCTAGGGCAAAGGCAAGCATGAGGTCCATGAGGCTCCGCACCTCGTGCAGAGTCGAGTACAGGGAAAGACATGGAGAGACCTTGACTAGCCGATTCCACAAGGCCAGGGACGCTTCCTCATGTTTGCTAATTTGGCGAAACCTGGATACAAGGCCAAGTTCGTGATTACCAGGCACACGGAAAATGGTGGCCTTATTGCCGATGCTGCCGTGCCACAGGGCGAGGCTTGTGCGCAGCGGCACAGACACGCTCGACTGCGGCCAACGCCACGTTGTTGGGGCGCACGGAGCCTTTGCCGGTGCAAATCTCAGCCGTTCATTTGATGCACTGCAAACAAATGCAAGTTCGAGTACCAGGCCTGCAGGAATCGATGGGCTAAAATGATGAAGCCCTTGTTGCCCCTGGCCAAACTGTACCCCCTCCGGCCTAGTCGGATCTGGCGGAGGATGCACAGCGCCCGCTGCCACTGCATTGTCCCGGACAGGGCATCGAGAGCCTCGGTGCTTGCGAGATACTGACAATTCGCAGCAGCATCTCGAGTCGGCTTACAGCCTCGGGCCCAGGCAGAGGTGGAGGCGACAAGATCCGGCTGCAGCCCTTCTCGCTGCATCTCACCTGCTCGAAGAGGGAAGCTCAGGCCAACAAGCAACATTGAGCACACTCTCCTCCTGTGCCGCTTGCAAGCATCTGACATGGAAATGCTCCTTCCGAACACCATGCAGGACATTGCAGGACCTTCTCAGGATCCCACGCATCTGCACAGGATCATCCAAAGAAAGCGAAGCCAACAAAGCTCTCCAAAGCTCCCACAGCATTCATACAAAAACCCCAAGCCCCCCAAACCCGAACCCCACACTCTTAGCCTAGTTACATGATCCCCGAATATGGGCCCTTACAAGGGGACCCCTTATAGACCCCTGCCCTGCGCAACCCAAGGGCCCATACTTCAGAACCCTGTTAAGGGCCCATGAAGCTACCCTTAGACAAACACCCAAGCCCGGCCTAGTAGGGCTAGCACCGCCTGCCAGGACCCCTCCGCTGCGCCTTGGGTCTTGAGCACACAGCATGTACAACGAAAGCATTTTCAGGGTTTGTGGGCTTTATAGGGTCAAAAGGAGCTCTGTACTGCTGTAGAACAGGCTGTGAAAACAGGTCCACACCAACCTTCGCTTTAGCTGCACCTAAACTGAATCCAAGAAGGCCACCAAAAAAAGAGCAGCCAAGGCGGCAGGCAGAGAGGACACAGCTGTAGCTCACGGCGTCGCGGCGGACCTCCATCGTTCCAAACAAAGGCTTCTGCCGACCTCCAACGAACGACGACACTAAACCCCTCTGCACCGAATGCTTCGCCCTACATCACCTCCAGAGGCCCTACTCCGCACCTCGAGGCTGGCCATCTCTGCCAGGAGCCGCAGTGCACCTTCTACTCTTGCCAGCTGACAGGAAAAGCTCTTCCGGTTTAGGTTTGCAGTCTTATTGCCAGAATGCTCTTCTACTGAACCTTTGTTCTGGAAGCCTGTTCAGAGCGGATTGGCCCGGCTCGGTGCCGGGGGCGGGGATGCCTGTGGGAAAGGAGCTTGAGCTGCTGGGCGTAGTAGTGTCCTTGAATTTTGGGTTCTCACTAAGCGTCACGGATTGGTGCATCCGGCGTGCTGGTGATTTGGTTCATCTCCCGTAGCGCTGGACTGCAAGGATCACATCCTGCCTCTGCCACAGCCAGCCATCAGGAAAGCCACTTTAGAGACTAGACTTCTGTGTTTTTGGAGAGATTTAGGGATATAGAGTTTGGTTTAGGAAAACGGGGCTTTTGGGATCTGGTACGAGTAGCTACCCTGACGTTTTGCCGCTACCGCCAAGCCTCGCCACTCTGCGCCCAGAGCTGAGGCAGCCAAGACCGAGTTTGCAATCACGACATCGGGGCGGAGGGTCCGGGCCTCAGCAAGCCGGGCCTGGAACACCAAACCAAGAAGGGCCCTGTAAGCCGGGCATTAAGCCTCGGATCCTACCTGCTGAACGGAGGTTCAGTGCGGCATGGCAGAACTTCGGCAAGGCACAGCTTGAGCAACACCAGAGTTCATTAGAATTCATTAGAGCTGCTGCTTCAAACCCTAAACCCTAAACCCTAAACCCTACACCCTAAACCCTGTCAAGAGCAGGGCTTTCGCGAGAAGCGTCACTCCACCACCACGCAGAAACCACCGCTAGCATCACGATGGCAACAACGACAGGCATGATGACGATGACGATGACTGACTGTGAATCCGTTCTTCCAAGATCCTGGCCGGCAGCACGCCCAATAGCTCCAGTGAGCGGCTCCAGTGAGATGCCTGCAGGCACGCCATCATTGCAGCGCTGAACCTCGGAGGTTGGGGCAAGTGAGGCAATAGCGCATAAGGCTTGGGGTCAGCAAGTTTGACTTGATGCGAGCTGCATTACGACAGAGACCGACGAAGCTTGGACTTGTGCACATCACCTGCCTTGCCGTCTTTTGCCCCAACCCTAGCAGTGCGCCGTCTTGACAAGACGGCAAGGTCTCTCAGCACCGAGGGGCGTCACCACTGTTCCTCGGTCCAACAGAGCAATCGCTGAGCCCCAGCGGCAGCTCCTGCAAGACAGAGGGAGTCTCTGAATATTTGTCACGAATGGTTCTGATGAAGGCAGAGCTGGAAAGCTGTTGACATCGTAGCTGAGCCTCGCTGCTACGACCGAAAACGCACTCGAACCGACAACGCCAGCTATGCATGACCCTGCAGAAATTATTCCCCGTGGCTCCGCTCGCAGGCTTCGATGACGCTATTCACCGTTGCGATGTTGGGGGCGACCCGGCGGGCCTCAGACACGTGAGCCCCCCCTAATGACTTACTGGCGCTTAGTTATAGTGAAGCAGGGAATCGTCGGTTGCAAGACATACAAAGTAACCTAGCGCCACTAGTGCCCAATTTCCGTGCTAGCGCCGGAAGAGGGGATGTGCCACGGCCTTCATCTGCCGCAGCGCAAGTACCGTCTGCGGCCAGCGCCCTGCGTCGCCACAGGCTGTGATGACCTCTGCTTGTTCTCGACTGCTGGTAAAGGTCGGGATTTGCCGGCAAGTGATCGTTCTTTTATATACTGGGATAAAGCGGCAAACCTCCATGAGACCACTGGCAAGTGGGGGGGGGGGTGTCCGAAGGCTAGGCTGAAGCAGGGTTGGTGAAAACTTACACAATCGCTTCAACCTGGTCCCTAAAGCACCTCCTGAAGCTTGCCCGCTATTCCAAGGACAAGCACCCTGAGCTCAAGCAAGAGGCGGCAGTGTAGCTGATCACATCTGGCACACGAATCTCAAAGATTCGGCCGCAGAGCACCTGAAGAGAAGGTAAAACCGAAGGCCCAAAGTTTCCCAAAGCTAACGCTCCTGAAACCCTCCAAGTGTAGCCGCTAGGGTTCAGCCATCCAAAGTCCCTCTCAAAGTAAGGCACCTGGGCCGCACCCCAAGCAGAGCCAGTGCCACAGGCAGTGATGGCGCTGTTGAAGCCTCTGTGAGGAAAGAAGGCTCTTAGATCCGAGGCTCCAGGCCTTCGGTTCCCGGTATTGTGGGCATGGGAATCGAAGAACTGAAGGTGAAGGCGGGGAAAGAAGGTAAAGCAGGCCCAAACATCTCCCAGAGTTCAACGCCTCCTCGATTCCTGCTCCGGATCTTTGCTGGCTGAGAGGCTGACCTCGTTGGGGAGGCAGGCCTGCCCGAGCCGCCTCTCAAGCTTCTCAAGCACGAAGGACAAGAGGAAGAGAACCCTTCAGGTCTTAGGGCGAACCTCAGTAGCTCCAGGGCTGAAGCCCAGGGCCCAGAGGACGCTGCACTGATGGCGGCACCTGAGAGCCGCGCAGCTCGTGGGGGCGGTGAGAGAAGAGCAGCTTTTTGCGGGAGCTCTGTAGGGCTTCCTCCCTTGGGTGGCCCTCTTCGCTTCGGGGACCTGCGAGGGTTTCCTCGTGGCTCAGGGTTCGGGGATGCATTTGGGGTGTCGACCTTTCTGGCCACAGCTTGGTGGGTCATGCCTGCGTTGCTCCGGGCGGCTGAACCCCACAACGTCGGCAGCACGCGCGGCCAGAGCAGACAGCAGCAGCGTCTGGGCCTGGAGTAATGGAGGATCATAGAAGAAGAAGGCAATCGTTGTGTCGAGCACGCGGTGACGGTTGCTGATTTTGGCTGTGTTGCCTTGAACCTGAAGCCATTTTCAAGCTCGCACTCTCAATCTTCCGTACCCAAGCTGCCGAACGCCATCGCCCGCCTCGCTCAGCACCCGAAATGGCCTCGAAACATGCAACGCTGCTAACAACGAACGCGGCCTGTGAAGCGGCAGCTGCTGTCGTGACAATCACTAGCGCCACGTCCCATGGGGCAAAACGGGAGCCAAAGCCAAGGGGCGCAGTTGTAGATGATGGTGTTTGTCATGAGCCTCTGCAAGGACACATGTCTCAGTCCGCGATCAAGAACAACTCTGTCATGTGGGCATGCACGAGCCTAGTGGTGATCCTTGCAAATGAGGGGCTTCACAGCTGGCATCTCGCTCAGAAGCACCTCAGCATCTTGGAAAAAAAAGAATTGTTAAGAAATACTACAAACAAATACGACGGACACACCTTCTGAATTCAAATAGACAAGTGCCTCCAC